AAAAATACATTATTCTGTACTACAGTAAACACTACAGAAAAAAAAAAAATGCCATTGCACAATGAGCATTTTTTCTAATATTCCCTTTCTTATCATTCTCCATGAGACTGAGAGGCTTTTGCCATGCTGACAGCATGGTTCTTTATTGCTATTTTTTCAAATCCCTTAGCATCACTTTTCTTTAGTGCCCATAATCTGTCCAGATTTCCCATTAGGTAGTGATACAGCAATATTCTCAGTGCCAGAGAAAAGGTCAGAAGTGTATTTTCAACTATAAGTGATTCTATAAAAGACCAAAGAACATTAATTTGACCCTGCCATGCTTAATGCTGTGCCTTCATTTTAAAACTGTGCACAGTTTTACCAGCTGTTTTTATTCACAATTACCCACCAGATCCAGAACAACTGCAGAAAGATCAAGTGCAGTAAAATGAGGAGTGAAATTCATCTGTGTATGCAGCTTTCATCAGCTGTGAGCACTGGTGTCAGTAAAACCAGATCAGTGGAACTCAGTGCAGGCTGTGAAAGAGGAAGCACAGCTGTAATTTGATGTTCACAATCTTCAGCTACTCGTAGTATCAATGAAGCTTGATTATAGGTTGAATCTATGATTCTGGCAGGTGAAGAAAATATTCCATTGGCTACAGAAGCAGACATAAACCCCTGAAGGCCTTTCCTAGTGCCTTTTTAGTACAGGTTTGCCAGTGCTTTGCAAACATTGGCCTCAACCACTGATTTCCTGCACTTGGGCAAGTATTTGTCTCATTATTTATAAAAATCATTGCAGTCCCATTGGGCTCCACATCCCAGCCAGTGCAGCCTCAAGGCTGCTTTGGTGTTCCACCTACAGCACACAACAGCTCCAAGCAACTCCATTCCACATTGGCATGGCAGGGAACAAGGCCCAGTGAGAGGGCAGAGTCCCCGTGAACCTTCAGCATCTTCCTTTGGCTCTTTCACTCCTGCTCAGGGACTTAATCACTGAAGTGTCACTGCCAGAACAAAGACAACATTTTACCCTCTGGTTAGGTATTAGCAATTCTCATTCACCTTGTTAAATTTTTATTCAATAAGAAAACCTGTTTTCCAACAGGTGCACACATGGTTTAAATAGAGTTTGTGCTTGGGCACTGGAAACACATCTGGTAACCTTGTCTTTCTGGATCTCTTTGGGGCTTTTGCCAACAGCACCTCAATTCAATGAAAGTTTTAGAATATAAAACCCCATTTCTCTTGTTTTATTTTTTTTTCCCTGCATAAAAAAGGAAAGCAGATCATCACTCTTATGATTTTTTTAACAGACACTTAAGAAGAGTTCTATAAACTGATCCACGTGCTCTAATTACTGCACAGTTTTATATTCTCTTAAAGAGTGGCTGAGACGTGTCTGCTGCATCATGGCAAAGTGTGAGTTTATCTGACCCAACCATATTGAAGCAACTCCTTAGGGTGGAAAAAGAAAGTGTGCTGGCAAGTTGAATTAAATGTAAACTTTTTTTAAGTCAACATAAGACAGTATTTTCCATCCCAACCTTTTCTTACTTGCTCCACACTGATGCACATCTTTAATAAAATGAACACATGAGTATTTCTTGAATCCATTAAGGGTCTAAATTGTAATTTTTAGCTACAGTGAATTAGGGAATGAAATACAATATTAGTTTGACAAAATAAAGTCCTTTTTTTTTTAACTAACACTAGGGCTGAATGAAACCAAGTGTTACATTTCTAGTTTTTAACAAAAAAATTAATGGTACAATTTTATAAAATTTCTGGCACATCAAATTTTGGAAAGTTTTACACACCAAACCATGCTTTTTAGCAAAAATATTAATGGTACAATTTTATAAAATTTCTGGCACGACATCAAATTTTGGAAAGTTTAACACACCAAACCATGCTTGAAAGTGTTTAGTTCTATCCCTGCTTTACCACAAACTCCTTGAACTAATAAATCTTTAAAACAGGGAAGAGAAAACAAGCAGACAATTGCTTTTCTAAATACCGTTTTCTCTAAAGTTTCTTTATCCTCTTTCTTCCCTCAGCAGTGAATACACCTGGAGAAGGGATGGCTCCTAATGTTTCCCTAAATACCAAGGGTTTGTAATTAGAGTAGTTCACATCTGCGTTTAACAAGGAAATCACTTTGCACCAACCCTCCGTCCTCCTCACCCAGAGAAATTCCTCTTATCTTTTTCACTTAAAAATGAGCTGCTTTCAGCTGTAATTTCCTTTTATTGCACGCTCCCCCCTACCTTTCTTTCCTTGAAGCTTGCAACACTAACATAGAGACCTCAGCATCTGATATTAACATTAGTTTTGCCTACAACACCCAGTGGAACATCACAGATTACTTATAACCACAGCGAGATCTGCAGGGCAAGAATAAATGAAAAATATTCTTTATTTAAAAGGCAGATTGAGGGACAACGCTGAGTGGCATTCCTGTAACAGCACTAACTCCCAACACAGGATAAATGGTTTATCTGCACAAAAAAAGCTCACAGTGTGAAAAACGCCAATCACTTGTTTTTAAAATTTTAAAAGTTTAATAGTAATAAAATGGTTATAAAAATAGCAATATAATTAGAGTAATAAAAATTTGGACTATTTGGATTAGGACAATATGAGACAATAAGAACAAAGTTACAGATGGTCCGGGTACCTCTTTCTGGGCAAAATAAGCCCGAAAAAGAATTAATCCTTAAAAGCAATAGCCTGTTGCATATTCATACATTTCACACATAATGCATAAATTCCTTTCAAAAAAAGGATTTTGTCTGGTCAGTGTCAACTTCTTCCTCTTAATCCTAACATCACCTTTAAGGCTGAGCAAGGGGGGAAGAAGTTAATTTCTTCTGATAAGAGGGGAAAAATTCTTTATCTCTGAAAGATTTAGGTGTCCTGTGGCTGCTATCTCAGTGCAAGTCCTCTTTTTAAAAAAAGTATTTTACATAGCACAGTTTCTATTTTAACATTGTTATAATCTAAATTTATTATATTAATTCATTACATTTAACACACTACTTAAGAAAATTAATACAGCATAACTTTCTAACATAACACATATAATATTAATTTTAATATTTGCGAAAAGCCAATCATAAAATACACATTTTTCACAACAGGGACAGATGGCCACCATCAAAACAAGTGAGATCAAAGCCCTTGAGGAAAGCCATAGAGCACCTGCCCCATTATACCACAAAAAACCAAAAAAATCCACTGTATCCTTGGTGCCACAGGCTAGCAGCCAGCTTCGACCATGGTAAGCCTGCCCCATTATACCACAAAAAACCAAAAAATCCACAGTGTCCTTAGTGTCATAGGCTAACAGCCAGCTTCGACCATGGTAAACCTTTAGGAAGCGGAACCCCTAATCCTTAGGGCAACGTTCTAGTCCCAGGCTGGAAACGGAATACACAAACTGAGGTAAGGGTGACCTCAGAGAGCGTGCGGATGGCAGCAGAAAACCCACTCGCCTCAGCAAAGCCGCTCTCCCGCCCTGAACGCCACCATCCCGGCCAGGGCCGCTCTCCCGCCCTCGCCATCCCGGCCAGGGCCGCTCTCCCGCCCTCGCCGCCCCCGGGACAGCGCTCCCTCACCACCGAGGCTTTCAAGGGAAGGGCGCGCGCCCTCCCGCCTCTCCTGCCCGGCCCTGATTGGCTGCGGCGGGAGGGGCGGGGCCGGGCCGCAGGGTGACGCGTCAGCCGGGCGGGTCACGTGGCCGCGCCCTCCCCGGTGCGCTCGGGGGCTGCGGGATCCGGCTGCCGGCACCGCCGCCCCCCACCCTGCCAGCGCCGCTCGCAGCCCGCACCAAGGGGTGAGCAGCCGGCTGCAGTGCTCGGCCAGGTCAGTGCCGCCTGCCGAGGGGGCGCGGGGCTAGCGGGAGTGCTGTAGGGGCTTATGGTGGCGACAGCGGCAAGGAGCGGTCGGTGCGTGCTCTTGAGGAGGTCTTGGACGCTGGAGGAGGTCGGGTCGCGCTGCGGTGTCGGAAGAGCGCTGGGGGAGCGGCGCCGCGCTCTCTGAGGAAGGTACCGGGGGGGTGGCGCGGGAAAGCGGTGGTGCTCTCTCGGCAGAGGTGGGTAGGGCAGAGCTCCCCTGCCGTGCGCAGGCGGCCACAAGCCGCCCCCGAACCCGCCGTGCCTCTCGGAGCCCCCGCTCCGCGCACTCCCCACGCCTCCCTCGGGCCCGCCCCGGGCCCGCCCCCTGCCGCCGCTGCCGAGGGACGGGCCCGCCCCGCCGGCTCTTCCCGCGCTGCCATTGGCCGGGGCGGGCGGGGCCGCGGGAGTTGTCACGTGGTTGGCGGGGGGCAGCTGGAACCGGTTGGTGCCGCGCCGCCCCCTCCCCACCCCCGTCAGGCGGCCCCGGGCGGCGGCCCCGGCAGGAGGGGCGGGGAGCCCGGGCTTTGCTGTCCGCAGCTCCGCACAAAGCCAGCGAGCCCTGGAGCGCCGCTCCTTTCCGCCAGGTTAGTCGGCGCCGCCGGCCGCGTGTCGCGGCGGGACCGCGCGGTGGCGGAGGGGGCGGTCGGCGCGGCTGAGCGGGGTCTGTTCGAGCCCTGTGCGGAGAGGGCGCTGAGGCGCGGTGCCGCGCTCCCCGCAGGACCGGTGTGTTATCTGAGAGGACGTGCGGGAGAGGAGCGCGTCGGCCGGGCACCGGGACGTCACCTCGGGTTCCCCGAGAGGCGGGAAGAGCGCGGCTCCGTGCGCCCGGGCCGGGGGTGCCGTGCCGGGCGGGCTGCGGGCGCTTCGCGCTCCCCGCGCTGTCCGGCCGGGCCCTGGCCGCCACCCGGTGTGTGGCTTGGTGGGCGGCGGGCCGGGGAGCGCGGGGCCTGCGTCTCTGTTTGTTTACGTCGCCGCCTAAAGCCCCGGCCCGGGGCGGTCCCGCGGTTGCCGCATTATGCAAGCGGCCGGGGCGGGCCGGGGACGTGGCGCGCCGCCTCCCGGTCGGGCTCCCGCGGCGGGCGGTGCCGTGCGGGGCGCCGGGAGCTCTCGGTCCGTGTCGGAGCGGGCAGCGAGGGGCGGCGGGCTGGGCGCGCTGCAGCGCCGCTGGGATCTGCCGGGCGTGGGGGTGTGCGCTGTGCTGCCGTCCTTTGTCTCGGCTCTGCGCTAAAGGAACACAGCGGTGGTGCTGCCGGCTTGAGGTTTGATGTTATTGATCGCATAGGAAATAGTGAGGCAGCTCCAGATTAAGCTGAACTTTAAAAATTAATCTGTTACCTGCACCCTAACCAGGCACAGATTCGTTCTTCCATTTTTCCTTTTCTTTTTCCTGTTAAGTTAATAACTTGTCTTGTTAGTATTAGCGTTATAATTTATCAGAGCACGCAGTGTTAGATGGAGGTTAACCTTCAACATATTTTAAATGTTAATGGTTGGATGAAATAGTTGATAAGTGGAATTATTTTTATCGCATATATTTCCATTCTAGCACTGTTTCTTGTACAATAACTATATAAGATGTTAAAAAAATATGAGATTGCCATTGGTCTTGAATAGTTACGGATAGCCCAAGCTGCCATGTAATTAGTCTTTCAGTAAAGCACGTAGCCCCTCAACAGAATGGATGCAGGCTTTGGAAATGTGTTAAAAAAGTGGTTTGTTGAGAGCTGCGGGAAGCATTATACATGTTATTTGTCCAAGTCAATCCTAAATGAGGAATGTTAGTGTGATCACAGAGAGCTAAATTACTCGCTGCCTAAGATCTTGTCAGCCGTACGTTAATAATAAGCAACAATTCACGAAAGAGGAATCAGACTGACGTTGCTCTGTCTCGCTTACAAACGTGCCCCAGCTGTTTCCTGTCTGTTTCAAGAACTTTGCTAAACTGTGGCATAGCTGAGGCGGAAGACTGTCACATGGACAGGTATTTGCCAAATGCTGAAACAATTAACTTATTGTTACTTAAAACCAAGCAGATACATTGTGGGTGAACAGAGAGAATCATGGGTGATGTGACCCCGCACACGGGGAGCTAAATTGATACTGAAAATACAATCCTCAAGATACTTTTCTCACTTGCTGTGTATTAGTGTGATGCAATTTCAGAGGTGTCACTTGGGCTTTGCTGTTTTCTAAATGTCAGTATAAGGCTGTTGGTAAAATTTCAGCCTTTGAATCAGAACAGCACGTCCAGATCTTCTGTGCAAGTTTGTTTGCTGTCCAGTGTTAGCACTGCAATGCAGGAGAGACCTGCTGACTTCGTCCTTGCTCCTGCAGTCAAGGTGCAGTGGGGGGAAGAGGAGGGGGCAGGAAGAACCCTCTTTGGCCTTTGGTTGAACATGAAGGAGTTGATGCTGTAATGCTGTTTCTAAAAATTCTCTCCCAGTTGTTAAAGGGAATGCCCTGACAAATATATCCTCTGACGCTGTTCTAAAACCCAGGTGTCGTCAGCTACTGTTACATAATTTTCTTGCATGTCTAATTTGTTGCTTTAGATGTATGCTGTAATATCTGATACCTCATTAGGACTAACCACAAGCAACAAAATCTGTTCATCATACTATAAGATTAACCAGATAGCACTTGGTATCTTTGGAATATCACAGTATGTGACTTGGGATCATGCCCCTTTGTTCAGCACAGCGGTAGATCTGATGCACGCTGGATTTTCTATTGCTGTGTGTAGCACATCTTTTAAGAAGGTGTAAAATCTGAGCACAGTACCTTCTCCAGCAGTGCTGGGCTGTGCTCAGATTCATGGTTCGTGAGGGAGGCTGTAAGGGGTCAGAGGCTGTGTCAGCCCCAGTGCTGCCAGTGTGTCCTCCCAGCTGTCAGATGACTTTGCTGGGACTGTGGCACCTTTCCCCTGCTTCAGCGTGGAGTTGGACTCCTGGGTGTTGATACAGGTCAGGAGTCTCTTCTCTTAAGTTGGAAAGTATCAGCTCAAAATCACAAAAAACCCCCAAAATACTCCAGCTTTCTAGTTCTTGCTGATTTTATCTTTATATGCAATAAATGGAGAGATATTTTCAAATAATTGAGCATGTTTACATTTAGGATTGTGCACTTCCAGGACGTGCAGCACGATCTGTGAGGAAATGTGTGCTAGCATTATGAAAGAGCCTGTTTGTGCACAGAAGGTGCTGGTGGGTTGACCATGGCTGTGTGCCAGTTGCCCACCAAGCAGCTCTGTCACTCCTCTCCTGAGAGTGAGAAAGGTGGAAAAAGCTCCAAAAAAGGGGTCAAGGTAGAGGCAGTTAATACAGCAAAAATAATTTTATTATCTGCTTCCCCATTAGGGAAGCAGGGCTTCCATGTAGATAGGAGCTTCTCTGGAAGACAAGTGTCTTAAATGACAAACACCCTCCTATTTTTTTTTTTTTTTTTTTTTTTTTAATTTCTCAATCTCTGAGCTGATGTCATATGATAAGGAATGTCCCTTTGGTCAGTTTGGGTCACCTGTCCTGGCTGTGTCTCCTCCCAGGATGTTGTCCCCCCTGCCCCGCAGCCTCCTGGTGACAGTGAGGAATGTTGGAGAGACAGCAGTGATGCTGTGTGAGCACAGCCGAAACTCTGGGTGTTATCCACACCTTTCTAGCTGCCAGTACAAAGCACAGCTCTGTGAGGGCTGTTGTAGGGAAAATTAACTCCATCTCAGCCAGGCCTAGTACAATGGGTTTCATTTTTCTGCAGCTAACTAAGCAAATTCGGTAATAGAGCAGGCAGAAGTAATCTGACACTAAATATCAGATGTCTGAAAGTACTAAAATGCATTCCAGGAATTTCGTGGCACCTGTGTACTTAGTTGCCCAATTACCTTTGAAAAATCCCATTAAGTACCTATAAAATGTATGAGTTTAAAAAAAACCCTACCCATTAAAATGATACTTTGTGAGCTGTATTTTTTCATCTCATTGTAAAAATCTGTGCTGCATGTTATCCTGTCATTTTTAAATATAATGTTACCCAAGAGAGTTTTGGGTTGATAGCTTTCCATCAGAATTTTTCTTACTTTTCAGTTTATTAGATAGAGATTGGTGGCTTTTTGTGCGGAGAGAAGGGGATAAATGTGACACTTTGGTGTGAGTGATACATTTTTGCTTTCTTACCAGCATGTTGCCAAAGTCTGATTATCCGTAATGGATATGCTAAGTGTAACCAGCCTTTCTGCAGCCCTTACAGTCAACTTAGAGTTGATAAAATCAGCCTTTCATTCAGGTCAGTGCAGTTGCTTGAAGTGTTCCCTGCCTAATTTTGGAAGCCCTCTGTCCATGCAATGAAGTTCAAGGCCTTCAGGCTTGTAAGTCTCCACAGTTTAAAAAAAAAAAATCCCATTGTACTTCAAGCCTGCCCTTGGACCACTAGAATCAAAGCCTCAAAACCTCTTGAAGTTGCTATTAAAAATATTGGCTGTAATGGGTAGAGAGCAGGTAACCTGGCTGCATGACTGCTGTGAATTTTTATGACTCTGGAATTTGTTCAGTGTTTGTTATATTCCATGATTGCCCCAGATTACCTGGTGTGTATTTAGCTAATCCTGAAAAAACATAAAAGATATGGTACAGCAAGCAGCCAGCACCTCTTAAATCATATTGGAAAGGTTAGGGAAGTTAAGGGTGGGGCAGAATAATCCACTAAAGCTGAAGGTTTGTGAAGGGCTTTAATATATCACCAGCCCTGTAAGCCTTCAAGGTTCAAATGGACATCAAGATTTGAATTAATAAATCAAGTCCCTGTCCTGGTATATTTCTAGCTACAACAAAAAAATATTTTGGTCTTCCCCATCCACGATGACATTTATTACCTCATTTTAGAGGAAATCTGTGATACTTTGTGACATTTTAATAGTCGATTGTATTATGGCATCTTTTTGTTTCTTACCTGCATTTTCTAGAAGTTCTCTTTTAGAATCAGGGAGAGGAGAGTTTGTATTTCCTATTCTTTTCTTCCTATTATTATTTAATTTTGGGGTTTTTTGTTTGGTTTGTTTTTGTTTTTTTTTTTTAGTGAAGTGCTGATAAGTCTCTACCTGTGTGTGATACATCTTTCCCATGAGGAGAACTGACATTCAAGTGTTCACTGCTTTCTTGCATGTGGTTGTAGTCTATAAAAGCTAACCAAAGGAAGAGGAGCAATTGTTTGCAGCCAGGTTAGCATCTGAATGCCTGTTGCTTCAGCAGATGTGAATTCAGCTTCATTACTTTTGGACTCAGAGGTTGTTTAAAAAGGGTTGTTGCACAAGGATTTCTAGTTTGTAAATCAGCTCAATCGATTTCATTAATATTTGCTGATTAGGAAATGTTTGTCATTTTTAATGTAGCTCTTCTGATTTGCTTCAGTTCTCCTAAGCAGTAATGACATGACCCCTCTGAGCTGAAAATTCTTTGCATTCACCTAAAAGTCCATCATTACAGGAGTGGGGAGGAAAAGAGGATTTTGTTAATTCTTTGCCAGCCTCTTTGGCTAAGCAGTGCTGCAAATCTGAAGGAAGGAACATCCTGTTTCAAAGATGCCTGACACTTAGAGGTCAGAGGATTTGATTGTTCAAGCTTGTCATTCCCCTTTGGGAATTAAATTATTATCTCTTTTCAGGAACCATCAGTAACTAGACAGCTAAACTGAGGTTGTTTGGGTTTTTTTTCCTCCCCCTGCAGTAAAATGTTTTTGTATCATGTCTTGAAAACACAGACTGCTTTTATAAGTGCACTATAATATATCACATAGGTTTGATTCCTTAAAAAAAAGTAGACCTGGTTTTTCCTTGCTGTCTGTTTGCATTCAGTGCTCTGCTAGAAAAGATGGTTTTTTCAGTATGAGGGGTGGTACTTTGACCCTAAATATAAGAGCAATACTCATACTTGCAGTTCTGCTAGAAGAAACCAAGCTCTTGCTTAGTGAAGTGGAATTTTTCTTTTCTTCATATACATCCCTTGGGTAGGCTGAGTAGGCTTTTGAGATAACATGCATTTTGGGTAGAATTTTGGCAATTTTGCAAAGTCAGTTTATCAAAACCTCCTTGCAACTGACTACTCCTATATAGAAAAGTAAAATTATATTACTAGGCAGTTTAGAAAAGCCCACACCTGTCTGGAATGTAGGTACACAGAATTTTGACAAGATTAGCTAAAAGCTTTATAGACTTAGGAAGATTTTGGATGATTCTCTAGGAGCAGTTGGCTAGTTAGTTAATTTGCAGTAGGACACATGCTGGTTTTTGTGAAGTTTAAATTTGAGTCATTGCATTGGCTCTGGAAACAGCTCTTTTTTTTTTTTTTTTTTTTTTTTTGCAATCCAAAAACATATTCTTGCTTTGGGGAACTGGGTGCACCCATCAGCTTTCGTTTTCCTGCTTGACTTTTGCAAGGCATTTTTGCCTACTTCATTTCCCCTTTGGCTCCTCTGCCCTTGCAGTTAAAGGCTGTCCAAACCGGCGTTTGGTGAGCACGGCCAAGCCCCTGACTGCTTGGTGGCATCATAAATGCACACTAGTAATTTTTATTCTCTGCATTACACTGGGATTTTTTTTGTCACATTACACCAGTTTCGTGAGTCCAGTCTTAGTTTCAGCACTGAAACGTGCTGTGCTTCTCTGTCTATAAATAACTGCTAAAAGCAAGTGCTAGAATGTGTCACTTCACATACACAGAGACTAATGACACACAGCTGAGAAAGTCTCTAAAGTTCCTAAAGGGCATGTCCTTCGTGGAATTCCTGCTTATCAGCTGTGCTTATTTCTAGTTTCAGTAGTCTGGCATTTTATCATTTGCAGAATGATAAAATTTGTGAAACACAAATGCAGAATTGGAATATGTGACCGGAAACCTTTATATGTCTACTGTTTTTTTTTCTCTCATTTTATTACTGAAAAGTCATTTTCCTTGACAGGGAGCGGGAAAATAAGGGAGGAGGAAAAGGAGTGTAAAGTAAAGGCAGCTGTAGTTACAGTAGCAATTGAGGAGGAGGGTTAGAATTGAGAGGAGGAGGAGGAGAAAAATCCAGAAGAAACAGTGCTGACGGTTCAGTACCTGCAATAACATTCTAAATGCCCACAAAGAATGAGGTTTGATGATGAGCTTCTTTTTCCCCTCCTATTTTGTATCTATCTTTTGCTTTCAGGACATATTTAACTGTCCTATTCCCTTTGGAGGCAAGGGCTTCCCCTTGTAGTAGTAGAGCTAATGAAAGGCAAATTTTTCTTCAGTGTTGTTAGTTCTTTCTGATATTGTTACTAAAAGATTGCTGACCAGGATTGTACTGAAATAAAGTGCTATTTGTCGTGTTCAAAAACAGCAATAGTAACATTCTACTTCCTTGGTTAAAAAAAAAAAACCAAACCAAACAAACAAACAAAACACACACAGAACAAAAAGCCCCCAACAATGATGTAAAGAACTGGATTAATTGAAAGCATTGCAAATTTATTCTGCACATAATTAGTGCAATTATTTTATAGCCCATGTCCAGATAGATATACTTGGGTAGTGACACTCTAGCAACATCCATATGTGGACTTTACTATGACTGCTGCTTTTGTAAATAATATAAAAGGATGTGATATATCAGTAGTGTTTCTGCTGTAATGGTGAAAATGGGGTTCTGCCAGGTTATTTTTCAGTCAAGGTGTTGTCCATTGGAGGAGAAAATTGAGGCAGTCGTCCTGCTGTCCTGGCTAAAGGCAGTCTCTTCCTGCTGTGCTGCTTTGAAGACTGCTTGGTGCTTCCTTCCAGTGGCTCCTGGTGCTCTTGTGAAAGCCTGGAAGTAGGGGAGCAGAGTCCACAGGGATGGACAAGTGACAGCAGAGAGCTGTCATCTCTTATGGGTTGTTCCCCTTTTCCTTCAAGGTGGTTGTGCTTCTCTGTGGAAACTTTCTTGTGCTTTGTAGAGGATGCTGAAGAATAGCGCTGATGAGGCTGGAGTTACTGTTTGCCAAGGATCCTAATCTTAAATCTCTTAAAACCTTCCAGTGGCCTCCTTGGAAGCAAAATTAGTCAGAAAGAGAGTTTTGAAAAATCTCTGCTGAAGACTGATAAATGCTGCAGAATACTGATATTTGCATATGGTATTTGATTTAGTTGTCTTTTTCTTATGCTAGTGTTGCAGCTGGATGCTGTTTTCTGGGTCTGCAGCTGCTTTTAAAGAGCTTTCTACTTCTACTGCTCACTCAAACAGTAATATCACAAGTGGCTTGCTTCCCTCTAAGTGGTGGGATTTCTGCTTCCTCTTACTTAGAGCAGCAGCAAATGTAGTGATTGTTCCTCAAATTAGTTCTCTTTCTTCCCACTATAGGAGATTTCAACGATCCCAAGACAAAAGTTCTGCAGAAATGACCTCCTGTCAAGTCACTTTTGAAGTAAAAGGATCATCAGCACCAGGTATTCAAGTCATACTTTCTCACTTTTGTATGATTGGTGTAGGAGAAAACAATGGAGCAGTGTTCAAAGGCTGTCTTGTCTGTTTTCCTCAGAGACAAAAGAAAGTATTAGATCAAATATCAAGGTGATACATCATTGTAAAATGTATTAAGACAGAATTTGAAAATGAGAGCTACGAAATAAATTTTACCTCTTTCTCCAAAGAAAAATTTCATAATGTGCTAGGCATTTTGATGCTAACTGAAATGGTTACCATTAGTTTAAAATCTTCTCTCTTTCGTACCTTTTTATTCCATGGAAACAAGTATTTGTATTCCGACCCATGATACTTAGGCACACATTGATGTGTTTTTCCTTTTTTTTTAATCTCTCTGCATCCCTGTTGAAAGTTCTCACAGGATTTGACCTCTGTCAGAAGTTACAGACAGGAAGAATATGCAGCTTAATTCAGTATTCTGTCCATGCAAAAAAAAAAAAAAAGAAAAAAAAAAGTGTAAAGTAACTTCTGTTATCCAAATGAGGAACACAAGGCATCACATCAGGTAGAACATGAAAATCTGGTATTGATTAATTGTGCATATTACGTTGACTTTCATCTTCAGGAACCTGGAAAGAAGGAGTTGTGTTTAACCACAGCTGGTAACTGAGGTCCACAAAACTGCTCCCAGCCGTGTTCCTTCCCAGCTTCTTCCTTCCCAACCCCCTCTCTGGTGGGGAGAGAACAGAAAAGGCCTTGATGCTGTGAGCACTGCCCAGAAATAACTGAAATATCCCTCTGTTATCAGCGCTGCTTCCAGGACAAATTCAAAACACAGCCCCTGCTAGCTGTTGTGAACAAAATTAACTCTACCCCAGCCAAAAACCAGCGCAGAAGTTACACCAAAAAAGTAATTGATTGTTGCCTAACAGAAGCAGATGAACGTGGGAGCAGATTGGCAAAATTCCTGTGCCAGGCCAATACCAGATGGCAGAAGTGTCTCCTGTAGTTGGTGCGGAAGAGAACGATGAAAACACTGTACAGGTTTTGACATCTGCCCTGTGTTAGACCTCTCCTGTGCTTCTCCCTCGTGGTTTGGCATTTGGGAACTGAAAACTGGTACTCAATGTAGTCATGAAGCTGTTAGTAAGGATTAGAGTTTTTTTACAGCATTCTGGAGAAAATTTTAAAACTTGAGAGTAAATTGACCTTAGCTCAATACCTTGCAGCTGTACCATGGAGTAGTGCAAGCTGTGCTCCTTGTCCTGCTTACACTGTTGCTTCCACAGCAACACTGTCACTAGCAAAGCTGACTTTGGATGTGTAACTTCTTCCTGTGCTAATAGTATCTGCAGTGAAAAGTAGGATTAGTGAGAACCAGATCCTGCCTCAGTGGCTGTTCACAAAGAATTATCTGGAAATACAGCATCAAGGGATGACACAAAAGGGAGCTTCTGCTTATGACAACGTTGATATTGTTGGGGTTTTTGTTATTATTGTTGGATTACTGAGGCTGTTGCAAGCTTTGAGTTGGAGCAGAAGGCTTAGATTAACCTTCTTTGCGGTAGCTGAAGGAGCTGTGCCAGGAGCAGCCTTGAATTCCATGACAAGGAGAGGGGAGAAGCTGAGGACCCCCGAGCTTGAAATGCAAACCCAACCCAAACCCCACTGTGTTCAGAATTGCCTATGGAGAGGCAGTTTGCCATGCATTTCACTTTGGCTTTACTGGGATAATTAAGGCAGTGTTTTACAAATCCTAATTCGGCCTCAGTGCAGTTGTTGAAGGGAGTTCAGAGTGGCTGCACATCCAATTCAGGCATTCCTTTTGTGTGTGGTGCCTTACTGAGTGAGAGGTGGTCACAGGTCAGTTTAAAATAGGAGCCCAGAGAACTATTCCAGCTGGCACCTGTTAAGAGGAATATAATTACATGGAGCCTCAAAGCTTGGCTGTGTGTACACGAAGATGCATTAAATACTGCTGTTTTAAAGGGATGTTAAAAGAATTTTAGCTTCTTTTTAATAGCTCTACTCAGAAATTCTACCTGTGTGGTGTTCAGGTGGTCTTCCCTCCCCACTTTATCTCCTCCCTGCCAAAACAAATCATCACTTGCCTCAGGATAAGGAGGAAAAGAGAAAGCTAACATAGGCAATTGCCTACTAAATATACTCATAATGTAGATTTTTGTCTGCATTTGTATGCTTACAGTGAGCATCCAGAAAGCTCTGGCTTCTTTCTTTTTTTTTTTTTTGATGAATTGCAGCAAAAGATTAAAAAAAAATAACCAACTGCTGAAGTTCAAGGTGTTATGTAAAATTATTTCAATAAGCTGCTTTCAGAGAAATATTTCTTTATCTTCTGTAGATTTTTTGCAACACCTGGGTCTGCAGAGGTTTCTTTCATAAGCAGGTCTGTGGTATCCCTTATTAGTTTAACTGGAGAAAAGGGATCCAATTTTAGAGACAAAAGGGCATCCTCAAAACTGTAACTATATACTTTGAAGTGTCAGCTGTGATTTCTGGCTTAGGAACAGGTAGTGTACACTGCTGATCTACTTTGTATCTTGGGATTATTGTGTCCCCCACACTGCTCATTTTGAGAACAGGAAATAAGTCAGAGATGCTTCTGTCATTCTTTCGTGGTGCCTAACTGTACTTTAAAACTCCATATTTTCTCATTCTGCAACAGTTTTTTTATTATGTCTAAAAATCTTGTTGAAACCCTGTGAGAACAAAATACTAATTTGTTCTTTCCGTTAGTATTTATCATTGTTGTTCTTACAGTCAGATAGATAACAGGTTTTATATTAAAAACAAGGGTAAGTTGCAATGGTCACTTGGGATATCCTAAAATTAAATATACTGTTGTGACCTTTTGGGTTCTGTATATATGTGTGCATTAAGATAAGTGTGACAATTTCATGTGGGTTTTTTGTGTAACAATGTTACATTTTGATATCCAGTAAAAACTGAAAGTGTAGCAGCAAAATGAACTTTATTTCTCTTGGGAATCAAATTAGTTGGGTTTGTTGCCTTGGGAATAATGCTAGCAACCTCCTGTTTGTCTGTGCCTTCTAAATTGTTGGCGTGACTTCGAGGGAATATGGACATACATTAAAAAATACAGAGTATCTAGGGAAATAACCATGTTACCTTGAGATGAAACATTTTACTGTGAAGATTCGCCTGTCGAATTCCCAGAGCTGTTTGGAGCGCTATTCCTTAAGAATGGTTTGGAAGCCAACCCTTTTAAGGGCTGGGGCTGGCATTAGTCCCTCTCTCAGGTCCTTGGGGTGGTGAAGAAAATGCTGTTCTAGTTTTGGGTGGGGTAAGAGTCCTTTCTGGACAGGAGGGATTTTAGGTGAGTGATTCTAGTATACATATTTAAAATACTTGAAAGCTTGACTGTGGCTGTACTTTTTAATGCCATCTAGTCTGAAGTAATGATGATTGTGGGGTTTTTTCTGTTTGGATTTTTTAGGAGAGGTTTTTGCAATATGTGGGAGCTGCAGTGCTTTAGGAAATTGGAATCCCCAGCTTGCAGTGGTCCTCCAGACTCCGGATGAGTAAGTTGGTTTTCATTTTTGTTTTTTTTAGGGGGATTTTTTTCTTCACTTTTGAATTTTTTTTACTTGTTCCTTTTGAAGTAGCTGGAGTTCTGGAGCAACAAATTTATTCTGTCTTTGAGTTTGTAAAGTCCCGAGCTGCATGTGCTGTTAGTAGAACTCCAGAATTTCTTGTGTTGCCCTTGAGCACTTTGAACGCTTAGGAATATGTTTAAGAAAATACGAAACTTGGGTGTGCATTTCCAGTTACAGATGGTGCTTCTGCTGTTGTAGCTGGCATTTCAGTAGTTTAGCTTTAGATATCTGGAGTAAGAAACTGCTGTGGGGCAATTCTCAGTGCCATGGCTGTGCAGCAAGTTATAGGAGATGTATAGGACAAAAAGAAAGTAAAGACTATGAAGTTATTATTGTGCTAGATAGAAAGCAATAGGGAGGAGATTATTTAAACTGAGAGTTGCATTGAAATTCTTAAGGGGGAGGGGATGTGTGTATAAGCATGAGTGTACATAAAGAAAGTTTAAATGCAGTGGAAGAATTTAGTATTTTCTTAAAATGGTGCCAGCTTGTGGAAGCTCTGTAGTGAAGGAAAATAAGGTTTGCAGGCTGTGTCTGTAATTCTGTCAGTGACTGGCTGTGTCATCTTGGATGAGTCTCTGAATCACTTCACCATGTTTTCCCCATCTGCTCAACAGGGATGAGAATTCTTGCTCTCTTAAAGCACTTCAGATCTGTCGATCACAAAGTTCAGTTTCAATTCTAAGTACATCTCCTATTCTGTGCATGTTTGGCTGAGGTACTTTGTAATAACTTTCCTTCCAACAATACACCAGACTTTATTTTAGAATATTACTCAGACATGTGTCTGAGGTGGCTTTTAGGCTGTATTTTGAAACTTTTTTTTTTGTTGTTTTTTTTCTTTTTTTCTCCACAGTGTGCCTGTGAAAAGATGGAAAACTACTGTAGAGCTTCCTAGAGGAGTTCCTGTTCAGTATCGGTATTTTAAAGGATACTTTCTAGAACCTAAGGTATGTACAACCTTGGCTCATCCCTAGTAAAAATTCCCATACTTGAAATGAAAAAAGGACTTCCTGAGTTAAACATGAGATTTTTTTTAGAAATAGGTCTTGAATTGCTACATGTGAAACACTAAAACATTTGTGGAAATACTCACAGTTCACGTCTGGAAATACATGACCATATGCTCTTAACTGTAATTATATTCTCTTCTTTCTTTTACCAGTGTTAGTGTTCTAAAAATTTCAGTGTTAAAGAAATCCCTGACATTATTAAAAGCTTAAATAATATGGTGACGTTCTCATAGTTACAATATAGTTGCATATGGATTTCAGCAGGGCATGGATCTCAAGTGATCCGTGGAAGGAATGTGATACTATGTGATATCTATCCTATATGATAGGACAGAAGCAAGTGATAGTAGGAGAAAAATGGTCAGTGTAGGAGGTGCATTAAAATTTTAAAAGTTTTTAAAATCACTGCAGATTTGTTTTTGTGAAGCATGAGAAGTATTAACCAGATTTTGTGCTGCATAATTAACATAAATTCATCTCAAAGTGAAAAGGTGAAACAAGGGGTGAGGCATCCCATTGTTTTGTGTATGTTTGTATATAGGAATTTGCACAACTTGGAGGGAAAAAACAGAGCCAAGAGACTGAGACAGATGTGTTTTTGCAGGTATTGATGTCAAAACTGCATATGACTTTAATGAATTAGAGTTTAATGTATGTGGCAGTGTACTGGTTTGTAAACATTGCACTAGGGCAGGGGGAAATTCTTCAGATGGGAAGAGACTGCATCCAGGAAAAAGCTGGGCTAAGTTGGGAAAATTGAACTCTTGAACTGTTTTTCATGGTAATAACCTTAAGAAATTTAATGCTGCCTTTGCTGTATTTCTTATTCTATTAATATCCTGTAGCTGTTCACCCTGGGCTTTAGTTCCCCATTGAAACTGGGATTATGAAGGCTGTAGCTAAATGTACAAAGGAGTTACAGAACCATCTCATCAATATCTTTTAAAAACTTCAAATTACTGTCAAGAGCATGTAAATTTTTGTCAGCCTTTTTTTAACTAAAAAAAATCAAATTTGATGGAGGTATCATTTCAGTGAAGGATACTAATTTCAAATGAAACACAGTTCTGGTTTTTTCATTAGAGCATGTGAAATAGTTTAGTCAGAAACTGGTATTTAAATTGGTACTTTGAGGCAAAGGAAGGGAAGGCCAGTAATAGATTTATTTTGCTGTGGTCAAACTGAGGTCAAAAGTAGATTAATTCTTACAGCTCAACAGCTCTGATGGGACTCTTATTTATTTATTTATTTATTTTTTTTTTGCAAATGCCCAGAAGTTTAAATGTAAGCAAAAGTAGCACACTCAAAAAGCAGTGTTAGTGAGCAGAGGCTGAGTTAAAAGACAATACAATTTCTGTTTTACCATTTGCAAAAGTTTACCCTCTGTGTTGGTGAGTGTGTTTCTTTGAGTAGGTGCTCTGTGTCGTGCACACTTTTGCACCGTGTGATGCAGGGTCTGCCAAGGTAAGTATGAATTTTATGCAATACCAGCATAAAGGGCTTCTAAGTGTAAAGAGCAGGAAAAAAGGAAACCACCCTACAAAAAAAGGCATGTGAATTACTGGGTGCAGGGTTGTCAGCTTAGTGGCTTTACTTCTTATAAAAGAAAGTCTTTTGAAGGAAAGAAATCCAGGTGCAATGTTGTTTTCTTCCTCTTTTTGTAAATCTCTTGCAGAACAATGAAAAAGTAACAGGAATGTCATGTACAGTATAGTGCAAGTGAGAGAGTACATGGAGAATTTTAGCATTAAGGAAATGCTGATAAGGAAAAGATACTTTTAAGTAAATTATTCTGCATATTTTTATTTCAGAATTTTTTTCATTAGGCATTGCATGTGATTAATCTCCTAAATTTGACAAGCTGGCAATATGTGATCTCTGACACTTAATTTTTTATATCAATTTTATGTGTAGTGAAACAACAGTGTAATCTTAACTATATGTTCAAGTCTGAGTGCACGAATTTGACATCACATAATTAGTAAATTGTGCTGAGAACAGATCCATCTGAAGTTAGCAACTTCTACAGCAACTGCACCTGTGAAGGTGCTTGGGTTGGACGTGGTGGCAAAGATGGGGCTGATACATTTACACAGAGAAATGGTAGTTCCTAGATTACCCACAGTAGTGCTACAGCCTAGATGTGAAAAGAGATAGAATAATGGACGTTTTAGTAAAAACAAAAAAAAAAAAAAGTGATGTGTTTTTCTCCCTTCCCTTTAAGAAGGCCATAATTTGATGTTAATTTTTTTTTTCTTGAAGGAAAGTATGATGTAATGGAAAGTCTTGTTTGTAGTGAAGCATATTGGTGTTAACGTAATTGTGGTTATGTAAAAAGAGCAGGTTTTTTTTTTTAAATACTCAGTATATTGAAATTCGTAGAATTGTTGCATGAATATAAATATATATCCAAAGAACATTTTCCTATAAAATTGGTGTCAGGTCTTGGCTCCTGCATATCAAGAGATTTTACTGTGTTTCAGACATTTTGATCTTAAGCATTTAAAAAGAAAAATGAATACACACACTTGGATGAAATGAGACAGTAACTTAAATTATTTTGGTTGAGGTTGTTCTTTTGTTGAGCATGGTCTGGGACCAATGAGCTCCCTGTGAGGATCTTCCTGGGCTTTATTCTACACCCACTTTCTGTTTGTGGCAGTGGGTTGTGAGGGGGTTTGTGTGAGGCACACCAAAACTCCCTTGGCTGGAATTTGTCTTCTGTGTATTTTACGTTTTAGAAGAACAATTTTACATGCATTGTTTGCATGATGCATATTCGAAAACCTTAGTAAGGAACACACCTTAATCTGTTCACCTGTGTTCTGTACTTGCTTTTAAAACTATAAATAAGCATGCAAGTTCAGGGCTAGTTCTTTCAAAGCAAGTGTGAAATAACTAAGCTGTCTGTGCATGTAGCAGGACTTTAAAAACTGGATTGGAGGACATCTTTCACACTTTCTGCTTAATTACAGAGGATTCAAATGAGGGTTAGATTTACTTTTTTTAAGTGCAATTAAATAAATCCATTTAGTGTCTGGACTGTAGTAATAAAGTTGAATAGGCCTAGACTCAGTAATTACTGCCTTAAAAAAGCTTTTTGTAGATTAAGAACCCATGGTTGTCTTGGTAGTAACAAAGGCATTATTATCTGCTGAGATAGCAGATTGTGTGTGAAGCTGTTATTGGAGGTACCAGAGCTACAAAGTCTCTCCTGAGCTCAGCATTTCCTGCCAGGTGACTTTTATGTGCTGCTGCCTTGCAAGTTGGATGCGATGGCTGAATGGCTTTAATTATTCAGTTTAGTGCTTAATTATTGTCTTCTACATGGTACAGAAATCCAGAGGGATTTTGGTCAGAAATACAGCTTTAGCAATTAAGTCTAATTTAGCTGTTTCATATTATTGAAGTAGATTATTATTCTTGAAACATAGTTTTAATTAGTGAAGTGCACTTGGATAAATGTGTTTGTGTGGCGTTTTTAAGATTTGGTTTGGATTTCCCCCCCCTCTAATGCCTGTCTGTTGTGTTGCCTTGAAGCAGGAACCCGGGAACTGATCTCCTAAATTACCATTTTAAACATCCACAGAAGTGTTTTCATTATTTAATTGTACTGAGTACCCAGGCACTTTGTGCAGATGGTGCATCTGCTTTCAACCTCAGAACCATTATGCTAGATAGGCATTTTCCCTTCATTTCAAAAGTGTCTAATGACTGCTGGAGAGGGAGGCCCCAGCTTCTCATAATGGAAGAAGACTTGATTTTTAAAGAAAGTTCTTGAATGTCCTTTAGAAACTTGAAAATTGAATCAGATGTTCAGCTAATCAAGATCAAGCAACGTAATATTCGTGTTGGCTTTTAAAAAAAATAAAAGTGTCTGTATTAGTAGAAAAAGATCCACAGTGCCACTTATCTCAGTGTACTCCCCATGAGATGCTTGATGTGACATTTGAATGGGTGCCCTTTTAAAACTGTCCTCTAGAAACTCTCCTTTTAGGCAACGTTGCCATCCTGTTAATATTGATGAGACATCGTTTAGTTCTGCTGCTCAGCTGGGCTGCTTTTCAGATGTGGTCAGTATATGCCACAGAAATGACATTACTGTTTTGACCTCATTGTAACAATGGCTTCTGTTACACGTAATTAAAACGTTTTTTAAAAGCCTGTAAACTCAGAGAGGGTCTGAGCAGGAATTGAGGGGTTTCTTAGGGATGTCTGTGCCTTTTCTCTAATCAGTTGCCCTTTTTTTCCAGGTAGCTTTGCTTGGCTCTTGTTAGTGTGGAAAGTGTTGAGGGTTCCTGGGATTAAATGCACAATCAGTCCATTGTATTCCTTTCAGGAGAGGAAATTGTGCTGAATGTATCCGGCATGGTGTCCTTATTGTTGGGATAATGTTATTCAAATTTATTCATCATTTTAGAACCTAGCTTTAGAATGGACAGTTACAGTAGTGTAAGAAATAATTTGATATTTTCATGCAATGCACTGGGGGTTTTACAAGGAAAAAGCTTTGCTTACCTTCTGAAGCAAACAGCTTAGTCCATGTTAGGAAGATTTGCATTGCCCAGGTTCACAAACTAAAGCTGTACATGTGTTCATGGGAGCTGCTGCTGGAGATCTTGCATGCCTGCATGGTGGGAGTAAATGGCAGCCTGCCTGCTGACAAACGTGGTTTGCAGCTTTAGAAACTGTCATTGTGACAGGCAAATGTCACTGGGCTGTGAAAGGAGGGGAAAGAAACTTCTCATTATTTACTTTTCTAGAAATCCTAAGCGTGGACACTGTGACAGTAGTGAGAAGTGGGGAACTAAACTGCCCCATAACAGGAATAAACTGGAAGCAGTAATATAATTTTATTTATATTTTGTATGCATTCTGTCTTTAAAACATAACTAAGCATATGTGTTTTATTCTGACATGACCTTGAAGTGTGGACGCCTCTGAACTCATTAGGAACATTGCTTTAGCTGAAACTCACAGAGCAAAGCCATCCTACTGAGCACTTGTTAAATGTTTGGTGTTGGCTTGCTGTTAACTCACCCAAAGGGTTGGGAGATTAAATGTGCTCAGTGTATGTCAAGAAATCCCATCTGCATGTAAAGAATTTGTTGGGTAATGTAACAAAGCTGTAATGGAACAAAGCATTATGGAGCTGTGTAATTATACTGCTGAGTTTGGAGCTTGTCTGGACGTCCCTGTGGGTCTGAAATCTGTTTAAACAAGAACCTGAACTGCTGGAACGAGCTGGCGTTGAAGTTTCCATGTCTTTGGTAATAGTAGCAAATTTTTTTGGAAATAAGTTACTTAGGCTCCAAAACATCAAAATGACAAATTGCAGCTATTTGATAGTGGTTTTTACATCTGATTGTAACAACTGTGCCATGCTAGGAGAAACTTCTCAGGGTGACTGAAGTGGTAACCAGGCATGTTCTCTGTTGTTAAATTGTGGTTACCTAAAAGCTTTTAACTAGAAAGCTATTTCAAAGTTAAATTTTCTGAAAGAAGAGTTTGTGTTAATTTTCTGGTTATCTGAGTCTTGGCTATGTTTGTCAACAAATGTATTCTTTTGGTGGACAATATTTCTTTTTAATGAAAGTATCTAATTTATCCTGGTCCAGCTGGAATAGACTGCGGGGTATTCATTGCTGGCTGATTGGGTCAATTATTTATGTTTTAATTAGATGATAAATAATTTGCTTTCCAGTACCACAACTAAAATAACTGTGTTTTATAGTCTTTGAATTTAGTAAGGTAAATTTTGAAGGAGAACTCACCCCTGTAACTGCTATGTGCATGAGTAGGTGCTGGATGCTGTTTGGAATTAGAGATGTGGGGTATGTTTTTCATAAACTGTTGCTGTAGCTTGAGAACAAAGTGACACTCTTAATGAATTCAGAGATTTTTTTTTTTTTTTTGGTATTAGAAGGAAACTAAAGTAGTCCAGCAGAGTATCTGTTAGCAGTAAAGGTTTAATGATTCCATGTAACCTCTCTGCCATGTCAGACTGTCACAAGTTTTGTCATATGTATTCACAACACATCAGACAGAGTCATCAGCAGTTGCAGGGGTAAGAAGCCTCATCTGTTTTCTTTCTTTCTTCTTCAGTCTTTTTCTCTCTCTGTTCCTCTCCCTTTCTTCTTCTTCTTCTTTTACTCCCTTAAATCTCTAAGTTTAGTTCACAACCATCCCAAACAGCTTCATGGGTACAAAGTCAGATCTAACAAAAGAAATTATTGCAGACATTTAACTTTTAAATTACAGACTATCGATGGTCCCTGCGAAGTCATAGTTCACACGTGGGAGACTCATCTACAACCACGATCAATTACCCCTTTAGGTATGGGCATCAACTGCATCTGTTTGAGGCATATGCATAAGATTGCTGATATGCTGCACACTGGTTTAGAGGGATTGATACCTGTAGTTGTAAAATACTTAAATTTATTAATGTGTGGGAGGTATAGACTTTTTTTTTTTTTTGCAAAACATGGGCCTTACTCTCAAAATATATATGTATACTCAAAATATATATGTAAGTGGCTTCAAAATGGGAGTGGATGTGAAATTCTTTGCTGTCATCCTTAAGATTATGTGGGTTGGTTTTTTTATTAATTTGAAATTTTAATAATTTTCTGTAAGCTTAATTCTTTGAGACTAAGGATCCATATGATCTATTTAAAGAAAATGCGGGGAGGGTATGAAATCACTGTGTTTTTTAATTTAAGTACTATTTAATTAGTAAAATTTTAAACAAAAAATGTTTAATTAGGCTTCTGTCAGTAAATGGATTAATGAAAGTAGAAACATGAATGCACTTATTTACCCAGCAATTTAGCAGAAATGTATTTTGCTGAAAGAAAGGGTGGTATGCAGACTTGCATATGAGTTACTAATGCTTTTCTGAACAGGGAAAAAGTTTGGGTTGTAAGAGTGACTGAAATAACCTTTGAATGTAGCTTGTAGTTTAGATCTCTTATGCTGCTATGGCATGTTTTATGCACTGTCTTTTCTAGCGCATAAAAAATACTATTTTCTCCACACTTAGAAGTTCACATTTGTTAAGAAACTTTCTAATTATTTGAAAAAATGTCTTTTAGAAAGCAGGTGGTATCAAAGAATCTGTTAGTCATTAATAGCACCATGATCATGTTCTGTTCTCCCTTTGCCGTTTTTTTTCCATTTCAGTTGAGTTAGTAGTGTTTCTATTCACATAAGAAGGTTATTTCTGTATTTGTCAGTAGCTGATAAGAGAAGCAGCCTATCCTCTGCTAGGGCCTAGGCTTTATCTCTAAATTTAGATTACCTCATTCAAAGTAGAGATTTTTTTTTTTACCCAGGTAATACTGAATTCTTCATAAGCAGTTTTTAAGAAAATGCAGCAATGCACAGTATGTTAGCCCTGGGTCATTTTGATCCTAAATTGTTGCCTGTGGTTATTAAGAAATTAGATTAGGAGCCAAATGATTCTTAGGGGAAAAAAAAAGGGATTAACCACTGTAGAGGCAAAATTATGTGAAGTTTCATGTTTTGAGAAGTGGATGGTTTGTTTAGACTATCTGTTCTGTTAATACTGATGAATTTACTTAGTGCCTTAGGATTTCAGTTCTTAAAGCTTTGGAAAGAGTAAGGATGAAAGTAAGTGTGAAGTGAGCGTTTTCAGTATTTCATGCTAGGTTGGTTTCTGTCATGCAGGCAGAATAAGCATTTTAATTGTGACTGACTCAATTTAAAAGCTTTAAATCTGCAGCAGGACAACTTTCTTGTATGTTTGCAAGAAAATTTAATGTCTTTGACACTATTTTGACACGTAAAGCATCTTATGTTAGTGGGATGTAGTTATCAGCAAAATACTGCAGCAAGCCAGAAAACAGTGCAACCTTTTTACTCAGTTCAGATTATTTGATGTGAAATGTGGTGTTTTGTGTGTTGGTTGGTTTTTTTTGTGCAGAAACTGAGAAAAAAACATAAATTGAGATCAATCTTTAGAGAAGTTTGCAAAAAACATGCTGCTTTGTCTGTTTCAGTTCTCCTGCATTTTTTTAGATACACTTTTTAGAAGTGGAGAAGTAGAATTAATTTAACTTGGCAATGATTTTTAAATGTGAATACTAATTACTTTTTTCCATTCTTTTCCATTCCTTTTAATTCTAGAAAATGAAATTACTGTCGATGATGGAAACTTTGGAATCTGTAGTAAGTGAGCTATATTAACCTTTATTCTTTACCTTTATTCTCTATGAATTTAATTTAAGCAAGGTTAAGTCTTGTAATTGAAAAATGTTTGAAATTATACGTTTTGAGAAGAATTGCCTATGATAGTTTTCTATGCTTTTACAGTTATTTTTGTATCCAGCATTTGTGAATTCACAATCAGGCTGTTACCCCTTCTAGTGTTAATAAAAGAGTTCTAGGAAGAGTTGAAGTCTTGTCACTCTGATGGTGTTAAAGGTTGAAATTTGGGAACTATAAATCTTGAGCATGCATTTTTTGAAAGTACAGAATAGGCTTAGCTTTTTCTTAATACCTAGCCTTAGAAAAATTCTCATGGCTGGAAAAACATAATCACTCTCACTGAATGTACCCACTCTGCCTCTTCAGTCAGAGATGCAGCTGCCGAAGGGTTCTTGTAAGCCCACACTTCATATTTTTGTGTGTGCACAAATGTCTCACTTCTGACAGTTCTGACCCACCTCTCACTTAATGTTCAATCCTCTGACACTGAAAGTAACTCCTTGTCATACCTCATAAATCTTGTCTTCAAGCTTTTCCATTTCCCCCTCATATCCTCATCAAATGATGGGTTTGGCTCTTTAGGAACTCTTCAAAACTGTGGGGTTTGCTTCAGCACCTGCTTTGCAGCTTGTGTTTCTGGTCCTCCTGCTTGCAGGTTTTCCTTGTTTTGATGTTCAGGGTGTGGAGTCTCCACAGTTTTCATCACAACTGTTGCTGTACCCTGTCCTGCAGACTTGCACTGCTTTGCTGGCACTGATTATGATGAGCTAATGGACACTCCTGTACCTCATCAGAAACAGGGAGCCTCTGACTGCTTTGGAGCCTTCAGAGTTCCTGTCAGTATTATTCCATGTGCTGAGAGATCCCAGGACAAGGGAATGTTACTCAATGCTGTCCTGCAGATAGTTTAAACATGATCATTGTTCCTGTTTAATCCCATTAAAATCCAGCAGACAACTGCAGTTCTTGGTGGCTGTTCTGGGTAGTTCAGAAAGTTTGGGAAAAGGCTGCACCCAGCTTCTTGCATTACTGTGGATCAAGGCTGGTGATAAGGAGGATTATCTGGGAGATGATGGCAAGAGGACCTGCCTAGATCTCCCTAAAATAAGTTACTAAAATGTCTTCTCCTCTTTGTTTGGCTTTTGATAGATGGTATTGAAACTGTGGATGCTGGGTGGCTGACATGTCAGACAGAAATAAGGCTACGTCTGCATTATTCCGAGAAACCCCCTGTACTGATTTCTAAGAAGAAATTTAAAACATCAAGGTTTAGGTAAGAGCCTGCTCATCTCAGTATGCAATTTACCTCATGTTAATTGTCAATGCTAGGGATATATATTTTTTTACTTAATTGATGTAACCTTTAAATTCATTTTGGGTTACTAATAGCCCAATTTCCAAGTGTTAAAGCACAAATATTTACTCCATAATTGTCTTGGTATTTCTTGCCTTTTGGCTGGAACTGCAGTGTTCTTAGGTTCTTCTAGGTTCATCTTAGTTTCTTACAAATCAGTTTGGTGCTGTTCTCTGCAGAGGTGCCTCAAAAAGCAGGCATTTTTATAACTCCACAGTTAATTGTCAGAAATGGGTATCTTAGCCCTGATGTTTAGAGCACTGCTCTGTTGCACACAGTGGATAAGGATTTGGCTGGGTGGTTGCCCTGGATGTTGTGGTCAGCAGCTTGATGTCCCAAGTGAAAACCAGGGATGAGGGGTGTCCCTCAGGGTTTGGTGGTGTTGGTGACATGGAAAATAGGGTTGAGTGTTTGCTGGTGGCAGCAGCCTGAGGGGTGCAGTCACACTGGAGGAAAGGGATGCCATCCAGAGGAAGCTTCACAGGCTTAGGAGTTCAGATCTCACCAAGGCCAAGTGCAAGGTCCTCCACTTGAATTGGAGCAATCCCAAGGGCAGGCCCAGTGGAGAATGGATTGAGAGCACCCTGAGGAGAAGGACTTGGGAGTGTTGGTGACGAGAAGCTCGATGTGACCCAGCGCTGCACGCTGGCAGCCCAGAAGGCCAAATGCATTGTGAGCTGCAGCAGGAGCAGCAGCAGTGGGGCCAGCTGGGTGAGGGAGGGGATTCTGGCCCCCTGCTCTGCTCTGCTGAGACCCCACCTGGAGAACTGCATCCAGGGACCCCCAGGATAAGAAGTACATGGAGCTGTGAAAGTGAGCCCAGAGGAGAGAGACCGTGGAGGTGCTCAGAGGGCTGGAACACTTCTGCTGTGGACACAGGATTAGAAATTCTGTCTTCTTCAGCCTAGAGAAGAGAAGACTCTGGGAAGACCTTTGCAGCAGTCACTAAAGAGAGCTGAAGAGGGACTTTGGACAAGGGCCTGGAGTGATAGGACAAGGGAGAACTGCTTTAAACTGAAAGAGGACAGGGTTAGATGAGATATGAGGAAGACATTCTTTAGTGTGTGGGTGGTGAGACACTGGCACAAGATGTCCAGATTTGTAGGTGCTGAGACCCAAGAAGTGTTCAAGGCAAAGTTGAATGGGGCTTGGAGGAACCTGGTCGAGTGGGTGTCCCTGCCTGTGGTAGGGGGGGTTAGAACTAAATGATCTTTAAGATCCCTTCCAAACCAAAGCATTCCATGGATCTGTCATACTTGATTTATTTATTTTCTTCAAGTTTTGATTTGATTCCCCCTCCCACCAATTCCAGATTTGCTGATGAGGGGAAGATTTATTTAATATGATGCTCTTCACTGAGATTTAATACTTGCATTGTGTTCTGTACAGCTTTGCCTGTTTTCCTTGCATGTTACAGCAGGTAGAAAAAGCAATTTCTGAAGCCAGCTTCTTGTCTAAGTTAAACGGTTGAAAGAAAACTCGATAAGCTAGATGCATTCACTAAATACTCTGTCCTAAAATGTTGGATCTGTCCAGTAGTTGCTGTGACTGTCACTCGCTATGGCAGTGTCGTCTTTCAAGTTTCTGGAGTACCTGTGTTATAACTTCTTTTCTTTTTTTTTTTAATGAGTATATATTTCAATGTGGACTTGGTGTAATAGATTTCCATGATTATAATTATTTCTTTGAGATATGACTTCCGTTTTACTGGTAACTTGGCATCTATAAATGATAATCCTGTATCTCATCTGCTGTGTCTGTGATGCAGGAAGGGATTTGGTTTTCTCATGTGTGCTTACTTCACTGACCTAACTAATTTTGTCTGGAAGGTTTGCTCTCTATGATAAAGGACGTTGAGTCTCATGGAGGCTTATGCTTCTCAGTCCAGGATTTTTCAGAAATCCATTCAGTTTACATGATCATTTAGGATTTTTCAAGGGACTTAATTGCATCAGCCTATATTACTTATGTCTATTAGAGTACACTTATCTGCCTTATCAGAGAGACATAGCAGCAGCCACCAATGTTCCAGTCTTGATCTTGATGATGACTGTTGCTGTTTTCAGTGCTTTTCCTGTTGGCATTATGGGTGTCATCCTGTACAGGAAGGCTGTCTATTTGGCAGCCCGAATAGTCTGGTGGAGTGCAGCTTTTCAGACCACTAGTAGAGTTTTCAAATGTACCCAGGTTCAACTTCTAGCAGTGACTTGAGCACTGCAATCTGACTAAAATAGGATTTATACAATGGCTGCAAACTCTTGCTTGTGTGAGGACACTATACAGTCCTGTTCTGTGAGTGGTGGAGTTGAGAAGAATTCTTGTGTCATACGAGCTTCTGCTCAGGCTTCTTCCTAAATCTTTATCATTTGTAAAGGCACTGCGGTGACTTAACCATTTGTTTTGTGTTTCTGGTTGAGTAGAGTAAAATTGACCCTAGAAGGGCTAGAGAAGGATGATGATGAAGAGGGCCAAGAGAAGACATCCCCTACTGTCCCTCAGAAAATGGCAAACACGGTGGAGTTCTCCTTGATCAGTGACAACGACTACAAATGTCGGCACTCTCAGCCAGACTGTGGCTATGCTTTGCAGCCAGACCGATGGATAGAATACATAATACAAACCATGGAGCCTGATAACTTGGAATTAATATTTGATTTTTTTGAGGTATGTCTCTTTACCCCTAAGAAGCAACTCCAGTCTGCCTTTTGGAGCTCAGTTGTTGTGAAGATTCCACTGTTGAAACAGAGCTACTGCCTGATGTTCTTCATCTTTTGGATTTATTTACACAAGTGTGAGACTTGACTCCCAGCCCATTGGTAGAAAGGTTTTTGTGAGCCTTCTTGATGTGGAGGAGGTTTTTCAGTTCTGCTTATTTAGAAGTCAGTACAAATTAGACTTGAATCTGTGTGTCTGCAGTATTGCATGCTGTTAGGTTGGCTTGATATTAATCCTTTATCAGAGCTAGGTTATGCTTCTCCTGCTTCAGACTGTACAATGTGTGTATGGACTGGTTATATCACAACTATCGAATCTAAATTTTTATATTAGAAGCAAAAGACATTTCTTTGAACTAACTCATGCAGATTAAAACTGGATTCTCACTGCTGTGTCTGTTATTTTTCCCCTGAAGGGTCTTAGTATTTGAAGTTCTTTTTAAAAGAAAGCAACTAACACAGAATAAAGTTTTTTAAGCATTCTCTTTTTGGTCTGAAAATGCCTTCAAGATCACTTACAGTCATAATTGTAAAATGTCTACATAGTTCCTGAACTTGACTGTGGTCAAGTTCACATTCTGTATATTAGTTCTTCCCTGCAAATGCATACCATTTTTTTTAGCATTTTAAGCATAAATATTATTCCAGTTAATTTTTGTTCTAAACAGAACTTGGGCATTTTAGAAGACAGACTATTCCATTCATGCTATTTTGATGTGAAAAGCTTATGAGATGTAAGGGGTGTCAAAGAAAAATGTGAGTTTTTTAGATTTCTGTTAAAGTTTTCATTTTCCTGATAGTAATTCATAACTCACTGCTACATTAAACAATTTTAGCTGAAATTAGTGTTTTATGTAAAACACAAGAAACTTGTGTTGTGTCCTGAGGAGAAAGCCAGAAGAGTTTGTGTAGATTTCTCATTCACAACTAACAGTGGGGGTTTTGGGGTGTTTTTTTTTTTTTGGTTGTTTTCAGGAAGATTTAGGTGAGAAGGTGGTACAAGATGATGTGCTCCCAGGTCACGTAGGCTCTGCCTGCCTCCTGTCATCCACAATCGCAGAATTTGGAAGGAGTGCTGGAGTTCTTACACTGGCTATCATGAGCAGAAATCCAAGGAAAACAATTGGAAAAGTTAGAGGTACAGTTGATGGCAACAACAGATGCAGATAACTTTCCTCAAAGCTGTCTGCTGTTTACTGACATGTGAAGCATTGCTGTTGTTCTTGCAGTGGACTACATCATTATCAAACCCATCCAGGGATACACTTGTGATATGCAGGCTTCATATGCAAAGTACTGGAAACCAAGAACAACTCTGGATGTTGGACACAGAGGAGCAGGGAATTCTACAACAACAGCTAAGTAAGTTTGTTTGCATTTTAAACTGGGGAAATTGTTTTGTGTCACTGACATCAGTTGAGGAAGTGGACAGTTTACAAAGCTGCAACCCATAGTCATTTTCTTCAGTATCAAGTTGTGGGTATTCCCTAAAACAAAAACTTCTGATTTGTGTTTCTGTTGTTTTAATTCTGTGCTATACTGCATCTAACAAACCCTTTTTCCTGGCTGTTGTTTCAGGCTTGCTAAAGTTCGAGAGAACACCATTGCATCCCTGAGGAGCGCTGCCAGTCATGTACGTGCACACATTGTCATACACACAGCACCCGTCTAGTGCAAACTAGATTGGCTTGTATACTTAGTTTGCATGATTCAATACAGTGAATGGTAATTGAGCTGATGTAAATTAGATGAAATCACTGTGGAAATGGCCTGAGTTATGGGAAGTTAATAGTAGGTTAGACTCTCATTCTCAAGTCCCTTTAAAAAATCAAAACTTCCGTTTAGTATATTCTGCTGGTGTTCTAATACAGGGAGAATTTTAATCTCGACCCCGTACAGGCAGGTTGAACAAATGAATCAAATTTTGCCACTGCTAGAGTCTGTCAGCATCCTCTCATGTGGCAAAGGTCTTGCTCAGGGACTGCTGTGTACTGAAACTTGCTGTCTGAAAATGTGACTTGGGAGCTGAGCTGGTAGAATAAACCAATCCTTGTTTTGGTGCTTGCTGCAGTGAAGACTTGAAATCTTAAGACAGAACTTTCAGTTTGGGAGATAATAGCTCCATGTGCCTAAATTCTGTGGTGGAGGTGGTCACTTTTATTCCTTCCAATAATCTTGATCACTGAATAAAACCGTAGCTGCTAAATGAGTATTTTGAACGGTAGTTCTTAATCCTTGAGTGGACACTACAGGTTTATAGACAGGCTTTTAGAATGCTCACAAGAAATATGCACTGAGGCAGAAATTTGCTGTGAAGTCATCAGCTGCATCACCAGAGAATTGCTTTCATCTATTTGCAGATTGAAAAGGCTGGCAAGCCACCACTTTAAAAATATTTCTGCTGAGAAAAGGGCTGAAAAAACCCCATGTCCTCTTTTCTCTCTGTGCTGATTGAAAAAGTGGGAGTCAGGGTGATAATTTGATGAATGGTATTCTTGGGGGCCTTCAAAGGAATGACTTGCAGACAGTCAATATGATAAAAAACCCCAAACCTTTTACTGTCTTACTCTTTCTTTCTGGCCCTCCCTCTTTTCCAGAAGGCTGTACTTCGAGCTTTTGGATCTTTCTTCCTTTTTTAAAGCCTAACAGAAAATCATTTACAGCTGAAAAGAGCAGGATGCAGCTATTTCTGCTCTTGCACAGATTATAACACACTGCTGCTGTGTTACTCACTAGTGACTCCAGAAGTCTGTTCCTGTATGGAATATCTCCCTAAAGCCTTGGCAATGTGGAGCCCTCACTTGTCTCTTGGTGTGGTGGTGGGAAGGAGGGAGGAAGATGCCTCAAAATTATCTGTGTTTAAAACATTTGTGTCTAAAAATATTGTCTTGGCCTTTCTCTGTAACCAGGTTCACAAGACTTGAATCTTATTAGAGGGTTTTACAAGATTAAGCAAGATACATATATATGTGTGTGTGTGTCTGTATTATGGTAATTAGGATAATTTGCCATATATTTTTTTCATCTTTAATAATCTATTGCTGAACATGATTTAACTGGTAGCAGCTAGGTGTATTCAACTTCTGCTTGATGTCCAGGACCTGTGAATACTTGACAATACTTGCATACAGTTCTATAGTCCTTGTGCACAAGTAGTTAATGGGCTTTTGTTTTGTTCTGTGTGATTTTCGATTCTCTGTAGGGAGCAGCATTTGTGGAATTTGATGTGCATCTTTCTAAGGATCATGTGCCTATAGTATACCACGATCTCACATGTTGCATGTCCATGAAAAAGGTAAAGGAGATAATAGCTCTATTTTATGTATAGATATGCCCATTCTAGAAATTTAAAATGTGAAGCTCTCATAGAAATAATTCTGGACTCTCAAGGGCTAGAATGGCAATAAATATGCAGCATTACCTAGTGCATAGAGCAGGGAAATGGAGTTTTTTCCTTTTGATGTTGTAGCAACAGCATTTCAGATGCATGGTTTGGCACTCTTCAAGCTCACATTGTAATTACTGTTTAGTTTCTTTCTGACCTACAATTTGGAAGAAAAAAAGCAGACAACTCTGCTATATTCTGTGGTGCCTATGGGGCTGTCTTATACTGAGGCCTGAATGTTTGCACTCTGTCCTGTTCTGCTTATCTTCCCTCCTAGTGCTGGCAGTGAATCCAGAGAGAGATTGCAGAGCACACTGCTCTGTCTTCTTGGCACTGGGTCTTGTGTTTTCAAACTCCCACACTCTTGGCAGTATTGCACTTTATAGGCAGCTTGGTTTAGAACAGCTATGGAAATGGACCTTGACCGGGGGGAATGAATGTTCAGTGTATCTTCACTCAGCATTGTCTTGCTCAGTAAAAATTTCTTAGTGAAGAGGGGAAGTGAGAAATGGACAGAATTTTTTTGACACCAGATCTTTATTTTGGGAGTGGTCTGTGTGTGTGAATTTTACCCCAGGACATTTACCTTTTTTTTATTAGTTTCTGAGACATTGGATAAACAGCAGTAAAGTGAACTGCCTTGGAATATTTTTAACTGCATTTCTTTACTTGTAAACATCTTTCCTGAATACATTAACCAATCAAGTTTTTACAGAATATGCTAACATTTTGGGAGGCAAGAACTTTAAAGCTATGACTTGCATGAAAGACAAAACACTAGGTTTCTTTCAAATTGTTTTGTGCTTTTAGGTGCCTGTGTTGTTTTGTGAAAACTGATCATCTTATTAATAAGATATCACTTGTATCTTTATCAATAAAATATGAAACGTTAATTGCCTCTATGGCTACTATATGAAAAGTGTGTAGGCTTTTTTGTTGTTTTCAGCAATGCTTAATTATGTGTTGGTTCTCTTCTAAGAAACTGGACACGGAGCCTTCGGAACTGTTTGAGATTGCAGTCAAAGAACTCACATTTGATCAGCTGCAGTTATTAAAGGTATTGTTTCCTTGCCTAGTACAATACGCTGCGTGTAGAATTTTATGAAGCTTGGAGGTTTTGGGAGTGACTACAGATAGTTTGGGAGAGTCCAGTTTTAAAAATAGTACAAACAGAACAATTGGGTAATTCCAAGAGAAATACTTTTGCACTGTTTTTACAACTTAGATAAATGTTACTACTTTTATCCTCTAGAAATATGGTATCTAATTTTCAAATGATAAAGGGACTGTGTTGAACTGCTCTACCTTCCAAACAGAAGTGCCCTGTCTAGATAAAAAAGGGATGAGAGGGCTGCTGAAGACCCTGCTGAGATACCTGCCCTCAGTCAAGGAAACCATCTGGCTGGTCCAAGAACCATATGATTCTTTTTACTTAAAATTACTTGGCCTGCTCCCTTTTGTGAAGAGAGCATTTGAATGGAGCAAGGGAGTTGGCTGTGTCTGGCCTGATTCTAGCTCAGCATGTGTGACTGTAATGTAAAACAGGTCAGCCCTTTGCACTGGATTGAAACACAGAGGAGGGATTAATGTTCAGACTTCTTCACATCTTGATGTTGAATTATAGTTTGTATGGGTTTACCCTTAACACGACTCCTGAATTTTCAGTGAGCATGTTTTCAGTTTGGTTTTGAGCTTTTCTTGAAATCGTTAAAACAAAGATTGAAAGAAAATTGTGATGTATACAATATGGTCTTTTATTCTTTTACAAATTACTGTAACTATGTCTGTAATAGACTTTTAAATTGTAAAATTATTTACAAGCAAAATTAGTTACGTTTTACATGTAGGAAGATGTGGGTAGAGTGTTAATGTTGCTCTTATGCTCTTCAGCTGGCTCACGTGACGGCCCTGAAGTTAAAAGATCACAATGGTATGTACTAGTTTGGAGGAGTGTTGGGATTGATTTGTTGTCATGTAATTGTATAAATTCTGTGGTTGCAGTTGCTTATTGTAATCACATTTGTCCTGAACATTTCTAAATGCTTATGTAGTTAATTTTGTGCATGCTGTGGAGGTCTTTACTGGGAAGGAAATACTTTAACAGAAGTTGGGAAGCAGGGACAGAAGGGTAGAAGGCAAATATATAGAACAATATATATTTCTGAATAATTATAACAAAATTGCCACTGATGTTTCCATCTTATGCCCCTCCAACTGTACCTTCAGCTCTTCAGACTTGCTGGCAAGAAGTTTGGTAACTGCTGCAGGATGTCTTATCAGTGCTGTAAATTTTTGGCCTTAATTATCCCCTTTGTAGGGACAGCAAATTATCTCACACATTCTACTTGTATAAGAAAAGATAAAATTTTAAAAAATCAAACAAATAAGCCTTCATAGCCATGGCTTATTGTGGATATAATTCTCTGAGTGAAGTGGTGAGGGATGGGAGAAGCCATTCTGAGATATATATATATATATATACACATATATACATATATATAATGGCAAGGTTTTAAACTCCAAACCAGGAATTGCCAACACCATCATGGGAGTATGTCAGTGTTAGAGGAAAAGATGTAAGTAATCATTATTCACTCCTAAAGGCCTTACAATTTTGTGCCAGTCTTTTCGTGTTGGCATTACTGGGATTATGTTCTGTTTGTTTTAATTCAATATTTTATCTTTCTTTCCAGCATCTTTTAAAGAGGAAGAGAACTCTGCTTTTGAGATGCAGCCATTTCCTTCTCTGCAAACAGTAAGTAGTGAATATGGAGCAGGATGACTTGGGAGCTTGAAAACCTGTGTTTTACTTTCAGCTTTGCACACATAGCAGGGGGATATTGATTTTTGGGTTTAGGCCTCTGGTATCAATACTGGAACTGAGAACAGGGGTTTTATTATTTATTTATTATTTAAACTTAAGTTTAAATTTAAGTATTTATTATTTAAACTGGAGGGTTTTCAGTGCTTACAGGTAACAGTCTGTGTGTATTTCAAGCTTCTGAATTTGTGAGCCCAAGCTGTGTAGCTCAGGGTGCACTCAGTTTTACAGCTGCCCCAACATGTGGGCATTGCCTGTTAATGCACTGTCAGTTGTTTCTAATTGTGAAAGAAACCACACCTGGCCTTTGGCAGTTCCTCACAGTGTCTTGGGCATCTTTCAGAGCCAGACACTGAGAAATGTTGAGTGAATTTCCAGTGTGTTTCCATTTAGAACTGGTTTGTGTTAGCTCCACCTTTTGAAATCACCTTGCAAAATTCTTCACAGGAATTTCACATGAAAGAACTTCTGTTATCATGGTAATGACAAGCTCCTGGCTTTCATACTTAAGATGCATTTTGCATTCAAAATAACTTCCTGGAGAAAGAAAAAAAAAATTTCTTCAGGAGTACAAATGGGGTGTTTCTTACATGTGTTAAGGTGAATTGGCTCACATCTGTATGTTTGTCTAAATCTTGTCCCTAAGATTGTATCCACTTTTATGTATTCATTAAGTTTAAACTGGAGTAGAAAAGGGTGTATATGTGTGTTGTATAAAATGTTAAAAACCTAGGGTTTTGAATTTTAGTGTTAGACACCATTATTAGCATTAAACTCCAATGTATTCTCCAAACAATTACCTTCACAGTGCTCTCTTGTGGGGTCCTCCTTTGCTGTGGGGTCACTTCATGGTAAAATTTTTTTTAGGTCCTGGAGTCTGTTCCTAAAGATGTTGGGTTCAACATAGAAATAAAATGGATCTCCCAGCAAAGGGTAAGTAAACATACATGTGATTTACTTTGTTTGTTTGACATTCTTATGCCTAAAGCTTGTAATTTGATGTGACAATTTATGAGCTGCAAAGGCATAATTTTTGTGGGGGTTTGTGCCTTTTTAAAAAAAATACTGCATTATTTTTAAACTGGGAGTATAGGAGCACCACTCCAACAAATGAGCAGTTTTATTCTTAGAATGATAAAATTTATGGGATTGAGTTCAGACTGCTTTTGGCAGGAGATTCTTTTTAAAGTCAACAGATCACAACAGGGCAGGCAGGAAAGTGCCAAGAAATTCAGCCTCTCCTGGCCCTGTGCAGGAGCAGCTACAACATGGTGCAGTAATGCAAGCAGCTGCTTCCTTCTAGGCAGCAGGGCTGCAGATTCAGCTGGATTGTGCAGCACCCAGTCCAGAGGGAAATGGTTGTAAAGGCTGGGATTGGAAGCCTGGAGTGGGGGAAGGAGGCTAAGGAGAGTGGTAGGTGGAAGTCAGTATGCTAGAAATAACAACAGAGAGTAGCTGCTGTAATTATGCTCTTCAGGGAATTTCTTTGTGTTTTTGTAGCTGTAATAGGCATGCCTAGGAATGCATTCCTTGGATGGGGAGACAGGGAGCTTTTCAGTGAATTTCATTGCTGTGAGAATTCAGCTGCACCTCTCAGGCTGTCAGTCCTGGAGAGCTGGAAGCAGCACTGAACAGACTGAAGGATTGATTCTGCATTCAAACTGGCCAGCCCAGTTCTGACTTTGCTCAGGTTGATTGAGAGACTATTGCTGGTTAAAATAATTTTAGTAAGCATTAATTTAAGTGACTCAAACTTGTGCTTTCTTTTTGCAGGATGGACAGTGGGATGGCAACTTGTCAACTTACTTTGATATGAACACTTTTCTAGATATTATTCTGAAAACTGTTTTGATGAATGCTGGAAAAAGAAGAATTGTGTTTTCTTCTTTTCATGCAGATATTTGTACAATGTAAGTTAAGATGAGAGAAATAATGTACTTTGTTTCTGAAATTTATTTTTATTTGGTAAAATTTACTTTGTATTTAAAAATACACACCAGGAAATAAATAACAGGTGTTTTCCTTAGACATAAAGTTTGGATACAGTTCCCAAAATAGTTGGGAACTGAAGTGAGACCACTTTGCTATCTGGAATGAGCCTGAAAAATAAAAATAGGTGAACAAAGTCATAGCGGATATTTTTGTCAAGTGCCTTTCTGGATGCATCACTCTTGCTTAGCACAACAAAAAAGGTCAGGGTTTCTTCTGGTATCCCAAAGGCTTTTCCAGTCATACCTGGGGGTTGTGCAAGCCTAACTTAGGAACAAATCATCTTGTTACAGTATTCAGCTTGAAAAATGCATTAGTAAGGTTAGGGGCTGTGTATTAACCATGTTTATAAATTCCTGTCATGGATCTTCATGATCATCATGAATCTGTGCATTTCAGAAGAAAATTACAGAATTAAATGGCCTTTGGGGATTATATGTAAATATTGAGGATGTAAGGCTGAGTTCAACATCAAGTCTAGCTTCCCTTAACATGTGTGTTAATTTCCAGTAGTGGCAAAAGGACTCAGTTGAGCAGTTTGTCAGCACAGTTTGATGCTAAAGTTTGATGCAAGACCTTGCACCAGCTAGGAGCTAGAAGAGCATGCAGGAAAGAGAGGAATTCCCCTTGAAACAGTGAGATCAAATCTTTGTTGTTTTTTTTTTTTGGTTTTTTTTTTTCCATTTGTTACTTGTGGACTTTTTTCCTGGCAGGATCCGACATAAGCAAAACAAGTATCCTGTGTTATTTCTCACCCAAGGGGAATCTCAACTCTTCCCAGAGCTGATGGATCTCAGATGTCGCACAACTCCCATTGCCATTAACTTTGCACAGTTTGAAAACTTGCTGGTAAGCTGACAAGTTAAAATCAAACTGAATTATTACTGCTTGTTTTAAATCTATCATTTTTGGCACTAATGCTTTAAATTATAACTAACCTCACAAAAGAAATACACTAATATTGGGTAACTGCCAAAAAAAGTCCATTGTTTGAAATGGTTTTTAATACAATGTTTTAAAAATAGCACTGTAAATAAACTCTCTAATTCTATTAAATATTTTTATTATTATGGATGAAACAGTAAGGAGCTGCCAGTGTTAAAAGATTAAAAAAGCTGATGTAAATGTCTCAGAAACGTGGATTTTAATTGATTCTGTATTTCAGGGAATTAATGTGCATTCTGAAGACCTGCTGAGGAATCCATCATTTGTTACACGGGCCATATCCAAAGGCCTGGTTATCTTTTCATGGGGCGATGATGCAAATGACCCGGATAACAGGAAGAAGCTGAGAGAATATGGTGTTCATGGGTTAATATATGACAGGTACTTAGCTGTGGCTTTTTGAAAGAATAATCATAATCACCACCATCATCAAGCTTAGAAACTGTTGTAAATTGATTCTGGTGAAAGTTCATGTTGCTTCTTGGTTGACTGGGTGCACAAAGTACAAGGACCCCATAAACCTGGACCAAGAATAAGTCTGGCACCAGTTCCCACTCTTTCAGTTGTATCTCTGAAGCAAAATAACTTTTGTTTTCATATGTGTAATGTTTTCATATATGTAATTTGGTCCTTTAAAGAATCAGTGTATGGCATACACGTTTAAGATGCTGCTAATATTCATGATAGTAATTTTCAAGTTATATATGTGATGTAGTGAGGAAAATGTTATTGAATTGTTTGACTGGAAGTTTCAGTGTTCTACATGGAGCTGTGGAAATAGTTAACACAATATTCTCTTGTGTTTCAAAACTGTGAATTCGCATTTTCCTATTAAAATTAGCTTGGAGTGACTCCAGGGCAAACTACCAAATTAGTAATTTCAGAAAGTAGCTATTACATCCAAAAATTCAGGTAGAAACATCAGAATACTGTGTTAAATATTTTAACAAAAGTGTTGTTGTGTTATTTGGTTGCTTACAACAACCCAAAGTTTTAGGTCTTTTGTCTTTGAAGATGAGAAATTCATCAATATGAGATGAAGTTTAATTTGAAAAGCTGTATTAAACTAGAATTTCCAATAGATAAGAAAGTATTTGGGAAAGCATTAAGCGTAACTGAAGTTTCAAATTACAGAAGGCTTTCAAACCTTCTGCTTTAGCAACAGTATTGCTTTGTATATTGTTTTACCTAAAAAAAAAAACCAAAAAAAAAACAATACAGAGGAAAGGGGGATCAATAATTGTCAAAGGCTCTGTTTTATGAAGTGAAAATGGAGAGCCAATTTAATCACCTCTAGGGGCAAGAAATCAAATATGTTTGCTCCTAGGGTTCTAGGCTCTCAGTGTAAAAATAGTTAACTCTTTTCAATCTGTTGTTGACTGCTGAGTCTCCTTTCAAGGTGGTGGGTCCAATGCTTCTCAGGTTTGCCAGAGGTGCCACTTCTTGTGCTGTGCAGAATGTCTCCCATTCACTGGCAGTAAAAAAAGGAATAACTAGGTTTTTGCACTGGGGATCAGCTTCAGACGGAAGACATGGACACATAAGTCCTCTTTCCTGCTGCAGCAGTGCTGTGTGCTGCACCTCTGCTACAGCTCAGGATTGGGGCCCCCTTTAGTCACTGAAAAATACCTCTGGACTAGAATGCAGGCGAAAGAATCCTCTAACTATGTAATGTGCAGTCATAGGGTAATGAAAATTTATTCTGTGGTATGCATAAGCTAAAGTGATACATTACTGGTGGGGTGTTTTAATCAAACACCACTGCATAAAGCATTTGTGAAATGTCTCTTCATCTCATGTCTACTAATCCAGTCTTTCAGAGTTGTTAACTACTCCTTGTGCAATAGATACTCACTACTGTGGTAAAACAGTAAAGCAGGGCACAGCCTAATTTCTGATTTAATGTTGCTTTTATTGCTTTAGATACTCCATGCTACTTAAATGTGGCATTTGTGTTGAGGCTGCAAGTCAGCTACTCAAGTCACCTTATGTGTCCTGTTGTACTGTTTGGTGTGTTTTAAGTTGTAGTAGGACAGTAGAACACCTTTTATCTCTCTTTCTGATAACCAGCCAATTCATGTGAAGGCTGAATTCCCTTGTGGATTTAACTGAACAAAAATTTCTGAGCCTTCCTTCGCTGTTTAGATGATCTGGATTCTTGACAGTGTTCATCTCTCCTCTCGCTGCTGCCTCCTCTGTCACTTCCACTCCAACATCTTCCCATTTTTTGGAGAGGAGCCCCAAAATTAGTATTAACTCCAAAGCTGTTATTGCAGGCTTGTTAAGTGTAATTTCTAAATGTAATTTCCCTTTTTTTTCTGTAGGCCAAAACAAACAATGGGATGTCCCTTTGCAATTCTTAATTACTTTTCAAGTTTTACTAATTGTGTGAGTAAAATTAAATTCACTCTTAATGCAGGTTAGGGATAGGACAGTTTCTGAAAGTTGCATCAGATGTCTCAAGGTGGGCATTTTGAAATGCAGGTGGTACCTGCAAGTCCTGGAATGTAAGGATGTAAAAGCTGGCAGCAAACATTTCCACTCACAGCTGGAGCTGCTGGGTAAAGAGCCAGACTTTCAGATCACTTGAGACTTGAAGTTGTTATTTAGAGATTAAATAGGTATGGTGTCATCATCCATATCCTGTGCTGTTTGGAATTTAGAAATAAATTTAAAACTAAATTTAAAAAGCAGGACTCAAGAGAGAGGTATTTACATGACTGTTCCAAGGTCTAAGTGATAAGTAGGGACTGCAATAATCTGTTTTAGTGTAAAGCCAGTTCATGCTGTTGTTGTGTCTTCAAATTCCAGAATATTTCCAGGGCTGAATTAAGATGGTGCTTCTTCCATTTCTGTGTTTTTGTTCTCTGGATTTATGGCCGAGTCCAGATACTTATCAAATATGGTATTTTGTTTTGCTGTTTACTAGGCCTTTACTTACACCATGTTATGTGCTAATTATCTGAATAATTTAGGAAGTGAGTAGAGGAATTTTAGTGAATTTTAGGTTGCTTGTATGTGGCCCTGAGTTACTGTGTGCAGTAGTTATTTCTGAGATTATGAACTGTGTGCATAGAGATATTTTTGTAAGCTATTTTTTTCCGAACTTTAATCATCCATGTAGAATTGACCAAAACACTGTAGCCAGTTGTGAAGATGGCAGAAAAACTGTGTCCTGAATACCAAAAGTTGGTGATACCAAGCACTGGGCAAAAAAAAAAATGCAGGTAGGGGGTCTGGCTTTGCTTTGCATGGAGAAAAACTGCAAGACTAAATCTGGGAAGCTTACAAATGCCAAAAATATTAAAAGGCTGATCTCACTGGGGCAGAGGAAAGAACACAAAGGTACTCCCTCCCCCCATCCAGGCCTTTCTCCACTTGGGCTGCAAATTATCACAAACACCCAAAGTCATTAATTCAAACAGATGTTCTGGGATGCTGGGGTGGTGTTCTCCTGTTTTCCTATGTTCAACTACCATTCATCTCAGGGTTTAACCAAATTATTTTAATTAAAAGGGCAGCCTCTACAGAAAGGTGCCATGTCTGCCTTCAGGCTTTTATTTGGGCTCTTAAACAAGAAAATGCTTTATGTGCATGATTGGGTATCTTCTGTCTGCACAGAAATCACATCCTTAAAATACTTTATTAGTCTGATGTCTCAGTTTTAATTAAAGAAGAAATTTCAACCTATTGTGAAATTCACTGGCTTGGTTAAAACGCTGATTTTTAAAGCAGGATTTCTGAGGTGATTTATCTGGCATTTTTCTCCTGGATAGGCTTTGGAGACAGTCCAGAAAATATTTCTGTATTTGAAGATACTTAACTCAGTAAGAACAATGCAGCCTTGTGTTTTTACACCTGCTGGCTGTACATTGAATACCAATGTGGAGAGGGGGTGGGTGCTAGCTTACACTTGCATCATCTTTTCTCATTCACTTTACATGATCTGAATTTTGTTTGTTGAATAATACACAGAACTGCATAAAAATACTAAATCACTATTTCCTAAACATGGATGCTGAGAGCTTTTCCATGAGAGCTTTGTTCAAATACTTCAGTTCCTTGGGCTGCATGTTGCATTTGCAGGCAAAAGCTGTGCTTGACTGGTATTAGTAGCTTCCCAACATTTACACAAATTTAGCTGGCAATCAAATCAAAAGCATTTTAAACACTTCTCAAAAGCACAAGACTGCTGAAATCTGGGCTGCCCTGTTTGCCTGAAACTGCATGTTACTTAAATAACAGCATGGATATGTGGAGGAAGTGTAGTATGAGTTGATTTATAATCTACTCAGTGACTGAATTAAGATGTTGTGCAATGACAGTTTAAGTCTTCCCTGTTTTGTGAATTGCAAAGTAAACCTGGAAGTTTTTCTCGAGATCTAAAGAAAAGTGAAAAGCTTTAATCAAAAGCTTCAGAAAATCTTTTAAGCATGAAAACAGTATTTCCGTGGTGCTGCCTCTTGTCTTGTATATGTTGTCAGAGGTTGCAAAATACCTTTCAAGAGCCAAACATGTCAGTTTTACACCCACTGCGGAGCCCTGCAGCATCCTGCAAGTCTTTTGTAGAAGGTGCTTACTTTAAAAAGTAATGTTTAAAGGACTTCTCAGTCTCCTGCAGGGCTTGCTTGTTAGCAGGAGGTTGGATGGAGAAACTTCGGTGGGTAGTTGTTTACAAATTATTGTCCTGTTGAAGAATGGAGGATAGGGAGATTAGTTTATTCCTTATCTTTACAGTGGTGTTGGAAATAATTAGAGAAGCCCTGGAGCTCTGTTGCTGCAAGCTAGTGGTGTGTTTTTGTGGACCCAGCATGTTTGGGTCCACAAAAGTACACCACTAGTTTGCACAAAAAGTAGGGTCAAGAAATTCTGAATTTTTGCTTTGAGTTGTCTTCTCTGCCTTTGGTTTAAAAGAAACCAGATACCCACATTGGAGTGGACTGGCTCTAGTGGACAGCTTGAAAGGAGCTTGGAGGGTTGAATTCATCCAGACTCTCAATTGAAAAGAATTTAGAATGGAGCAGGAATTAAAGAGTTTATATTTGTTGTAGTAAAGAACTAGTAATAAAATACTTGCCAGAAGCTGCTTAGAAACATGCTTAGCCATGTTCTAGGAACAGGGGGCTTAGAAGAACCATTCTTTTGCTGTTCTAGAATCTAACTGATGGGAAAGACTTCAGATTCATAGTTTCTAACATGTGTTTTAAATAGAATACTATCCTCAAGTTTGTGTTCTGTCTGGAATTCACAGGGAATTCATAAGGTGTCAGCTGACTCAACTGAAGAAAGCACAGGAAGGAAGGAAGGTAGAGCTGTTATTTTGCAGAAAGCTTCCATTGGGCAAATTTGGGTCATATCTTAGGCCTGTATTGGATTACAAATGGTGTGCAAGTAATTCAAATGCTATGCCTTCTGTTTGGATTTCATCAAACTGGACAGCATCTGTCCTCACTTCTAGGAGTTCCTTCACAGAAATTGTCCTTGACCTTGCTGTGATCCATATCAATATTTCCTGTGGAAGTGTTTCCTCACTTGAATGCCATTATTGTACCCATCTTTGAGCTGCATGTTGGTTTTGGTGTCTTGGAGTTGCCAGCAGTCCACAAGTTGTATTTTCAGGGTAAAAGGGCACCTTGCACTCTCTCACTTGAGCACTACATTGTTTTGTTAGTGCCATTGGTTCCTTTTGGGCATAACTTGAAAATGTGTGAGAGATAAAGGATGATGAAATAAAAGCAAACTGCTTTCTTGAAGGAATCCTAGTGAAGTATGATCATTCTTAAAGACTAAGACAGAAGCCATGGTAACTTCTTGCAGAAGTTTTCATTTGAAGAAGAAAAACCTGAAGACCTGCAATACCTGGAACTGTGTATATGCAGCAACTAAAAATGAGAGCAGCTGGGTTCCAGGATTAAAATTTTGAATATAAACATGCTGATATTAAAAATGGATGTTGGGAAATCAGGGTATATCCTTGTTACAATATGTGTTGTACCAATGTTAGGTTACAGGAGCACCAATGCATTTTCTTTGTAATGAACTACACCAGAACAGTGTTGGAGTTGTGCTCAGTGCTTGCACTGTCACTCCAAGTGTGGTTTGGATTTGGACAATCTGGTATGATGCTGACACTTCAAATCTGCAGCTTTGTTTACATGTGTGAAAACAAGAAAGTGAAAAGAAGACAGACTGTTTAATCTGCATTAGGTGTGCAGAGAGGTCACATTTTCTATTTTTCACTCTTCACTTAATATTGTGGTAATGATGGTAATTTAAAAAAGAAAAAATTCTGAACTGGGGGAGATTAAATACTTCTTGAAACAGGAAGTGTACACTCAATGCAGTATTATGTGCAAGCAGTGTATTACAGTCTGTTCAAATAATCTCAGGGCTCTGAAATTTCTTGTGCTTTGAGCTTGGAAGCCTGGAACACTGCTCTTGTGTCACTGCTTTGTGCCACCTGTAAAGTCACATTTGTCAGGAGATTAAGTGAGTGTATGCCAGCAGGTTTTTAGTTCATATCCAGTGAAACACTAACCAGTCTGTGTAAAGGGAATACCATTTTATATTGTGAGATAAGCAGCAAAAATTAGGGTACTAACCCCAAACAAACTGACTTTGGGACCTAATTTTGCTCTGTTAAGGAAAAAAACCCAGGTGCTTCATCTGGTGTGCATTTCTGTGGGCTGCTAGTTTATACTGATCAGTGTTTTTTTCTTTTCTCATTCATTCAGGATATACGACACAAATCCTGAACAACCAAATGTATTCCAGGTGGAGCAGCTGGAACGTCTCAAGAAGGAGCTGCCGGAGTTGAAAAGCTGTTTGTCCCCCTCAGTTAGCCACTTCACACCCATAGCTCCATGTAAATGCCATCATTGTTACCTGGAAGAGAAGGCTGTAGATAACTTGAAGAGTGTTCAGATGCAGAAGGACTAATTGTAGGCAGAATGCTGTTTTGTATCTATAGAATTTTCACCATTGGAATAGTTCTGTCTATGCTTTTAGGTTGGTTTGGTTTAATTTTAAGTCTTCAAATAGCAATAACTGTGTTCCTCCTTCCTGACAGTACTGAGTGAAATTTCAAACAACGTTAAAATATTCAGCCAGTAACAGTTATTGTTCCAAATTACATGTACAATTTTAACTTTTTCCTCACATCCTATCAAGTCTTGAAAAAGAAAATTATTATTATATTATTTTGCTTTTTTAAAAACCAAAAATTAAGTAGTCTCAGTAGTGAGAGCTCAGAAGCTAAACTGTAGAGAAATTACAATAATCTGATATTGAATATGCTGAAAATTTGTTTTGATTTTGATTTTACTTACAGGCTGACAAGCTGTAGCATTTATCTGACAGCAGGAAATTGAGTGGTTTTAAGATACATATAAATAGATCTGGCCTATAAAAAGATCTGAACAAATTGGTACCTCATGTATATGTATTTGCACTGGTAGATCCACCTGTACAAAGCTTTGTGCCATTTTAAAATATTTTATTTTTTAGCAAACTGCAGCTCCTTTTCCCCCATTTCATTGGACATTGAGGCTGCTGCCTTTGTTTCCTCAGCCCCCAGTTCAGGGGCACAGCAATCAGGGGGGAAGCACGAGTACAGGTTTTTCATTAATCACACACACGCCTGCTAAACTTTAAAAATGTTGCTAATAATCATGACAGAATTTACAGAAACATCTTCAGTGGTCGAGAATCTTTTTTGCACAGTAACCTTAATGAAGAGTATGTACCCTGCACAAACTCTACAAAATGCATGCTTTATCTATTAAGCATGAATTTTAGGTGTTTGCTGAGGTCCTTGCATCTTTATGGTGCTAGTTATGTGTGAAGGGTGCAAGGACCAACTCAACAACTTAATCTCCTTTGCCTGAGAAACCACAAGCCTGTTATTCACAAACATTTGGAGAAGAGGCTATACCATACGTGGTATGTATGTATACCATATGTGGTTTGTCTTACTTACTTATAATGCAAGCTACTGGCTTTTGTATTTTGCAAAATTTTTGGCTTTTACCATGGAGCAAGAATCACAAGTGTACTGGATTCAGATAATCAGTATTCTGTTGGCTGGTATCTATCCTGTGTAATTTATTACAAATTCATAGTTTAGAGTTCTTAGTAGATAAGTATGCATGTCCCTTCTCCTCCTGATGTTGCAGGTCATGCCAACACAACAGCTGTAACTTTCTACTGAAATGTTAATGTATAATAAGAATGGAAAATATTTATTTTTTTTCTCTTGTAAATCGACAATGAAAACAATAGTATGTACTATATTCTTTATATACAGTCATTGCTACATATAGAACTGATTGTACAAAGAGCAAAGCCATTGCAAATAAGTGCTTGAGCCTGCACTGCTGAGCAGTTTGAAACAGCTTGTTTTGACTTGTGCATTTTAGTATTTAAAATTTGTTTGTCCTGCACAAACAGCACAATAGTATTAGGTATCTGGAAGCCTTCTTTTATTAAAAAAAAAAAAACAAAAAACAAACAAATGAAAGTTACCATGGAGCAAGAATCACAAGTGTACTGGATTCAGATAATCAGTATTCTGTTGGCTGGTATCTATCCTGTGTAATTTATTACAAATTCATAGTTTAGAGTTCTTAGTAGATAAGTATGCATGTCCCTTCTCCTCCTGATGTTGCAGGTCATGCCAACACAACAGCTGTAACTTTCTACTGAAATGTTAATGTATAATAAGAATGGAAAATATTTATTTTTTTTCTCTTGTAAATCGACAATGAAAACAATAGTATGTACTATATTCTTTATATACAGTCATTGCTACATATAGAACTGATTGTACAAAGAGCAAAGCCATTGCAAATAAGTGCTTGAGCCTGCACTGCTGAGCAGTTTGAAACAGCTTGTTTTGACTTGTGCATTTTAGTATTTAAAATTTGTTTGTCCTGCACAAACAGCACAATAGTATTAGGTATCTGGAAGCCTTCTTTTATTAAAAAAAAAAAAACAAAAAAACAAACAAATGAAAGCGCAAAACAACCCTAAACCAAAACTGGAAGTGTGTGAGCTGTGTTTTTCAAAAGGGGAGGGGGCACTGAACCAGAATCTTGGCATCAGGAACCTGTGGCTGTTACTTGATATATTCCTCATGATGTGATAAATTCTTTAATTTCTTTTCTTAATTTTTTTTCTCATTTGTGTACCCTGTGGGGTCCTCTTGACAGGTCTTGAGGGCTTTGCCAGCTGTTGCTCAGCTCCTAGCAGAGTTTGTGTCACGGCGTGTGAAAGCTGGGCAGCACATCCTCAGAGATGCTGAGACACCTCTTCTGTGCAAAGGGGGTTTAAAAGCTGTGCCTGCTCAGACTAGTCCTGGTGAGATGCTCAGGCACCCTTAAAATCTTGTTTCCCAGCCTTCAGTGCTCAGGGAATAGCACTTGCCAGTTCTCTTTGAGGGGAGTGGGGGTGGAAATAAATCCACCCACTGTGCTGACTTTACAGGACAGTTTTGAGCAGTGTTAGTATTGGTGTTTTCTTGCTGACTCCTTTGCTTCTGAGTAAATTGTATCAGCAGCTTCCTCCAAACCTGAGGAGCTTCAACAGCACTCCTGCTGTGCCAGTTCTTGGAGCTGAGCTCACAGCTTGGGCACGCTGAGCTGCTGTCACTCAGCCACTGGCATTGCAGAAGGGATAGAAGGAACCAGAGAGCAGGAATTTGGGATCTGGCAGGGGAAAGTGCCCCCTCCTGCTCTGGAGTGCTTGTTGGAAACCAGTGTGGGCCAGGGCAGAGATGGCTTTGCTCCAGCCAAGGGACTGCTGCAGAATTTTAACCCAGAGATGTGGGAGCTGTAGTAGGGGAGACAGAATTTCTCTCTTGATTTTGGAACATTTCCTTCTGCCCCACCCAAAAACTGGGCTCTACAGCTGTAGGATTGGTTGCTGAATGACACTCCCACACCATGCCTGTACTTGTGTGTGTGTATATATATATATATTTATATATATATGTAGCTGGACAGTGTGGGAGCTGGTCATGACAGAGCTGGTGTGTTATGATACACAGTTAGCTGCTACATCCAAAATGTCTCCTAATAACTGGGCCTTCACGTATTTTCAGTCACACAGATCTTGTACCTTAACTGTAAACATGCAGCAAAAGTCTTGGTCACAACAGCTGCCAGCTGAGGAAACACTTGCTGACCCCACATTTGTCTCACACCTCTGGAATTGCACCCCACATCCTGGAGTTTTGCACTTTCCTTCTCAGCTGCATCCATCATATCAATCTCCCAGAGCCCAGCTTTGAAGTTTGAAACAGCCAGCAACTGCTTCCATGCTGTTCCTGGGGACAAAACCCAGCCCTGGCCTTCCCCTTCAACTTGCAGCCTGTAAACTGCACCACGTGCAGGTCTTTGCTCTTTCTTTTCACTGTGTGTGCCCTCAGATTATCTCACAGAATCTATGTCCAAAATTGAAAAAACTCTAGCAGCTGCTCCCTCAGAGAAGGTCCTGGAAGAAAGAGCCAGTGCTGGACTACACCTTTCTTCTGTAACTTATAAACTGCACTGAGGTGATTCACTTTCCCTTCTTCAGTATCCAAACCTGAAGCCCTCCCCTACTTGCTCCCACTAAAGGTGCCAGGACAAAAAAGATGTTGGCTTTTACCTTCCCACTGTCACCATTCAGCACTCCACCCTCTATTCCTGTGCACTTCCTAGCCAATTAAATGTCCTGTGATGCTGCCTCAGAAACCCAAAGGGCACATCTGAAGCCAAAAGTGTCTAGACTGTACTGGCAAAATGTGCCAGGGCAAAAAGAAACACATTTATTTTGGAAGGCAAGCAGCTGTCCCTGGTGTTCCTGGTGCAGATAAGAGGCTCCCCAGGGGAGGTAAAGGCCAGCAGCTGCCTTTTTCACGGCACTTCCTGTGTGGGAGCAATCCCCTCCCAGGAGCCCTGCACCAAAATTTGAGTGCTGCTTCCAGTGTTGAATACATCCACCAGGGACTGCTCTAACACTGAAGTTCTCTCCAAGGAGCTGCTGCTGGTTTCTACCTCCCTGGGGCAGCATCTCCTGCACCACCAGCGACGGGGTGAGGTGCTTTCCTTAGCAGATAAAGACATCCTCATCCTCTTTCTGGAGCTCACCTCCAGTGTTTGGATACCAGCTCCAAAACTGTGTGTGTCCAGGAATCTCTTTCAGAGAAGCCTTTCCAGAACAGAAAACTCTGGTTTATACCTCCCTAGGGAACCCTGTAATGTCATCCTTTTCTTTCAGGTGGCCAGTAGCTGACAAGGATGAATAAATGTCTGCCTTATTTAAATTGACAATGATTAGATGAAAATATAAAAAGAGAAAAATGCAAAATGGCAAAACATCAATCTGATCAGAATTACTTACTGCACAGTAAAGCTGCTAATACAGTGCTCTAGGTATTGCACCAATAACAGAGCCAGCTTAATTACTCTCTAATAGGGGTTGATGTCACTCATCCATGTCACTGACCATGGGCAAGCCTCTCACTCAGCCTCCAGAGCTGTCCCTGAGGGGTGTTCCCACCCAAGGGAAGGATCTTCCTGCATCTCAAGGAGATATGCTGGGAAAACTGGGACTGATCTTTTGTAGTATGAAGAGGTTGATTGTCCTGCAAAGTTTAGATTCTGTGTTGTCCTCAGCAGAACATGTTTGAGTCAGATGTTACCAGCTCATTGGTTTCTGCTCAAAGCTTCCATCTCTCACTTCCCTACCAGGCTCTTCCACGTCCCTGTTGATGCCCACCTCAGCCAGAGGGGCACCCTCAGGAGGGGCCTCATTTGAAAGAGTTTGGTCAAGCTGTCTCAGCATTCTTCACCACTGAGCCCAGTGTTCTACTAAACCCCCTGGTTTTTAATCCATCACCAAAAACTTGTAAATAAGACAAAGAAGGGGTTCTTTAAAGCTGTCCCAGCCCTTCCAAATGGAACAGCTCTAGTGCCCCTGCCCCTCATAATGCAGTTGCTTGTTCCACACACCAGTCCTGTGGTCCCAGGAACAGGAGAGCTTCATCTCCATCCTTTACAGAGAGAGCGAGACCCCTCTGGAGCTATGTCTCTGTCTCCAGCTCCAATCCCTACATTCCCACTGCTTTCAGCTCTCCCTCTTGGCTGACTGGTTTCTAGGTTTGCCTCATATCCAAGTTTTCATCCATTACATGTGGCTGTGTCACCTTAGGGCAGATGGAATCTCACTGGAGAAGTGGGAAATCAGGTGGATGCATCAAAAACACTCTCCCACCTTTGAGTAAGTCATGAAGGTCTGCACGGACTCTGCATTTAAGTGAGAAAAGGCCTCCAGAAGAAAAAGAAAGATGGCATTATCTACTTAGATGTTTTTGCTTCAATAGACTGGAAATGGTAGAGTTCAAGGTCTGGGTAAGAGGCATCCATCCCACCCCTTCACTGCCCCACCAGCTTTGTGGTTCTGTGCTTGCTCTGCCATGTAACCCTGCCCCTCACTTAATCTGCTTATTAAAAGCATTTCCCCAGTTTTTCCAATGTTGCAGCCTCTTCCACTCATTTGCCCCACTGCTTTCTCCAAGGGACAGGTTTTATCCTGCCTTCCTTTCTCAAAGAAAGTCCTTTCTTTGCACTTTTTGGCCTCAGCTTCTGGAGTTCTGTGGTTTTTGCTGTGTGCCCAAGTGTGTTAAAAAGGAGTAAATATTCCATATGAAGAAGAGGGGGAATAACTTGCTCCCATGGACTACAGACAAAAAGATAAAATTTAAAAAGAGAAACTGCCTGGGAAGCCTCATCATTTTAGGTCATTTTTGTTACCTTGGCATTTCCAATCTCCTTCAGAGATGATGGCGGTGGCTTGCCCTGCAGTTTGATTGCCCTCATCCCTGGGTGTCTGTGGACCATTTCTAGGCCCCGCTGCTTGCCCCGTGTCACATCCTGGCCTGCCTTGGCCACCAGCCACCCTCGTGTCCTCTGCCGTGACCACCTCAGGGGTGCGGGGCCAGGCTGGCTCGCTGTGCAAAGCAAAGGGGACTCCAGGCTGTCCAGGTGGATGGACACGGGTGTCCCCTGCTGCCCTCAGCTGTCACCCCAGTGCCACTCGGCCCTGCCCGGGGACCTGCCATGCGGGGACAGCCGAACTCTGCTCCCAGCGCCCCGGGGCTGCCCCTGCATCTCCGAACGCCTCCCATGTGACTGCAGGTCACAGGGCTTGGCCACACCTGTGCCACTCACAGCTATCTTCATCTGTCAGCAGGAAGCAGGGAGGAAAGGAACCAGAGCAGGAAGGGGAGAAAAGAGGAAGAAACGAGAGCGGGAAGGGCAGGAAAGGAGGGAGAGGGAGAGAGAGGTAAGGAGGCTGCATTCAGCAGTGAGGAGCAGAGCGGACAAGCACCGTGCCAGAGGCTTCCAATGTCCTCCTCAACTTCCACCAGCACTTTGCCCAGCGGCCTGGCCGTCCTGACCACCTTCCCAGATGTGCTCTTCATCCCCGAAATCGTGAGTGCTGGCTTGTCCCTGGGGGAGGGCCGTGGCTGCTGGCTGGGCACTCAGCACGGGTCATGCTGCAGGTGTCCGGGGGTGACACTTGTCCCCAGACACACGGCTCGGGGTCCCTGAGCCACAAGGGGCTGGAGGACATCTCATCCTCGGAGAAAACCACGGGCTCTGAAGCTCTCCTTTAATCTGCAGTGGGATTTTCTGGAGCCTTTGAAAAAGGTTTTGATTTCCTGCCTGCAAAACCAGCAGGGGTTGCCGGTGGGTTTAAGCAGGTTGCCAGACGGGGGTGGTTGATTACCTGGCAGTATTTTAGCGGATAGCACAGGCAGAGGATGAGCTGCTGGCTTGGAGCAGGGTTTTAGGGCGAGCCGAGGGAATTGTGTGCAGCGGCCGGGGCCGCGCTGCTCCATCGCGGCATTCCCGAGCCGCAGGTGCGGAGCTGCCGACCCTGGGCGTGTGGGTGAGCGAGAGGTGAGCAAAGGGTGAGCAAACACCTCGTAATTTCTTTCCGCATTGTCACTTCACTGAGCAGGAGGAGATCACAATCTTTAGTGGCTTTGGCGCACGTGGTGGAAAGTGTTCGCTCCCAGATTAGGTTATGAGATAAAAAGTCTCAGCTTGAACTCTTCCCCCTGTCCTCTGCCCCACTCTTGGAAAGAGCTCCTCTCACAAGAGCTGGGGAGGCTTTTTTCCAAATTCCCAGCGCTTTGGTCCTGCGTTGAAAGCTCTGGCTGGGTATTGTAGGATGGCATTCAGATTATTCCCTGCTAAAAACTTCAGCTTTGCCATCCGGCACCAAATCCTTTCCTGTCACCCAGCTTGGTCTGCACTCCTGGGATTTGCAGCGTTTCCTTTGTTCTCCTGGTGATAACACCGTAGCAAAGAGGATGTAGGAAAGGCTTTGCTTCAGCCGCTCCACTGCGCTCTGCAGACCTGGTCTCTGCCCGAGAGCAGTGCCAGGTGTCCTGCAGCCGCAGGAAGGAGGATGCTGAGTGCCTGTGGAGGTTTTGGCTGGGCTGACATTGCCAGCCGCCCCTGCCACTGAGTCGTGTCAGTCCTGTTGGCCTCAGAGAGCTCATTCCCCTTGAACTGTTTGTTTGCAATCCCTGTCTCCAGGGGATTTGGCAGGGCAGCTTGCTGAAGTGAGCGCCCTGTCCTTTGGTTTGGGTAAGATCTGGAATTGTGCATCCCGAAGGCCCAGGAACCACCCAGGAAGGAGGAATGCTGCACGACTGGATTTCTCCATCTCCAGGCAGATTCTGGGCTGTGCTGCTGTGTGACCTCTGCTGTGTACAAAGGAGGCGGCTGCCTTGAATCAGAGGGATAGAGAGTTTCTCATTCCTTGGTGGAATCTCAGGTTGCCTACCATGGGCCAAGATAGTAACATAACAAAACAAAACAAAATTGGCATTTTAAATGCTAAGAGTGTTGTGAAATTTTCAGAAGATCCTGCCTGCAGCTCAGATGATTGCCACATTTGCATGGGCTCATCAAAAACTACCATTTTTAATCTCTAAGGCTCATTTTAATTATTGTAATCTATTTAATTTGAAGAACTTTCTGCACATATGGATACCCAGACCTATGTGGAAAACCTGAAACAAGCTGAAAGCAGATAAGTTTACTTTGTAAAAGCTGTTTAAAGGACGAAATTTTTTTCTTAGACTGCTGTCCACATCCTGCTGTGAGTTATTGAAAGCCTCTCAATCCTTTTTATGAATCTTTACCATAAAACCAAAGTCAATAATCAAACCACACCAAACCGACTTTTCTGAGTGGGTCAGCACAGCCTACAGGAAGGAGAGATGGTGAGGGGTAGGAAGTGAGCTGTGGTGCTTCTTCCCCAACCTCGCATCTCACCTTAATTTGTGCTTGATTTTAATGGAGCAGCCGTAACGCTTTTCCCCAGGATTTTTAGCTGCAACACACTCATTGTGTCAGCACATGGGTGATTAAAAGGACTGGATTAATGCTCAAGGCTTAGCCTTTGGCTGTTACAAGAGGGCCCAGAAGAGCAGCACTCTGGAAGACCCATTTTCACTCAGGTCTTTGCCACATCTCAACCGCATAATTGATGTAATGTGCCAATTTGCATAATGGCACCAACAAACTTTCCTACAACTGTGGGGTGACAAAAATGATGTAACATTTTCTGAGTTACCATAAATCAGAGACTTTCTTTCCACTTGCAAAATGATTGGAAGGAAATGGAAATGGAAATGGAAATGAGTATAAGCTGCCACTTGGATGCTGTCTGGGATATGCTGGCCATACAAGGATCAGAATGACCTTAGAGTCAGCAAGGCTGTCCTACCTCTGGACATTTGCCTGAATCCCAGAGTGGCTGGTGGTGAGGGATAGGTCCCCAGAACAGCACAGGTCCCCAGAGTGTGGGCTCAGCTGTGGAGCTCCTTATCACAGGATGCTGCACAGACTGAACTTTACACAGGTCCAGGGAGCAGCTGGGCTGATTTGTGGCACAGAACAGCTCCTGAGGGCATTTCAGTGCAAAGGCACCACTTGCACTCCAGGCATTCCACAACACTGAACATAATGCTCCCATCCTCTTGTGCAGGAGTCTGCTGGTGAAGGGATGGAGCCTAGACATGGCTGTGTACCACCAGGAAACCCATGGCAAACTCCCAAGGCTGGCTGAGAAGGTCCCACCTGCTCCCACACCAGCACCTGGGACCAGGCACAGCTCTGGTGTAGGCAATGAAGGGTGACCCAAAGAGCTGGAGCAGCAACACAAGCTTCCTTTCCCAAGCAGGAACTGGGGACCTCAGGCTCTTTTCCCCTCCCCAGGTTTGAGGGAGTCCAACCTCTCCTCAGCCTGTTCTCTCCTTTCAGAGCGATAGTTGCATGTGACCTTTGTGAGGGCAGGTGTCTGTGCTGCTCGTGCAGGTGAGCTGGGTTTGACATTGCTCCTGGCAGAGATCTGACACGCTGGGTGTGAAGCAAACACACCTCTCCTAAATCAGCCTCCCTGTTCACTAAAGCCAGCCCTCAGAGGGGTCTGAGCCAGCCTCCTAAGCACACTGGTGTAGGGAGGGTGTGAGTGGCAGTGGCACCAGTGAGGAATTTTTTTGGGTCAGGATCAGTGGCAGACTCCCAGCTGAATGCCCATTTTCGAGTGGAGGCTGGCAAGAACTCATGGGCTGCTGCCATGTGCAGTGCCAGAGGCGTGAGTGGCTTTTGGCTCTGCTCTGGACAAGCCACCTTGTCCCACGCTCACCCTGTCCCCCACTTTGACTTGCAGATCTTTGGGGGCCTTGTGTGGATCCTGGTGGCATCCTCGAAGGTCCCAGACCCCATGCTGCAGGGCTGGGTGATGTTTGTCTCTGTGTTCTGCTTCGTCATGTCCATCTCCCTCCTGTGCCTCTACCTCTGCGGGGCTCACGGCGGCGGCGGCAGCTGCTGGGTCACCTTGGTACGTGCCTGTGACAAACCCTGGCGTGGGTTTGTCACCAGCAGGGTGCTGCTGCTGCTCTCCAGACTGCAGCCCAGGGATGGTTGTAGGGGCAGTGTGACTCTCTCGGAGGTGACTGTGTGATCCTTGTTCCTTAGGATGTCATCTGCCACAGCACGGCAGCGCTGTTCTACCTCAGTGCCGCGGTGCTGGAAGCCTACATCACCTATTCCCTCAGCTTCTTCCTGCCCCTGGCACAGAAGTACAGGGAGAACATTGCTGCCGTGGTGAGTGCCTGGCAGGAGGGCAAGGAATGGCAGCAGGTGGCTCTGGGGTGGCCTCAAGTGCAAGTCTGTATTTGCACCAACAGTTTGGGCAGAGGGGAGAGAAACTGGTCGCTGTCTCAGCATGCACGGGTGTCCCCAGACATGTGGCACGTCACGAGGCGTGGGCTCAGTGCTGGAGTGGCACAGTGCCACAGAACACTGACGGGCTGGTGTGTTTTTCCATCCCAGGTATTTGCATTCGTGGCCACCCTGCTTTACGTGATCCACAAGGTGTTCTCGCTCCTGCGGTGGAAATCGTCCTGAGAGCCTGAACAACGCCAGGAACAACGTCTGCCATCTCCAGGCTGGGTTTGGGTTTTGGTTTTTAATGTATAGCCTAGAAACAAGCAGCTTTTTATGTGGGATCTTGGTGATGAAGACATGGAGCCTGCCAGAGAAAGGAATATCCTGGCACAATCTGTTTCCCTTCAATAGCTTACAGGCTGGGTACAGTTTGATTATATTGCCAAAAAAAAAAAAAAAAAAAAAAAAAAGCCATCCAGCTTTAAAAAAACATAATATAGTTGGGTTCAAAGGGCTAAAATATCCCTGGACTTCACCTTTATGTGTCCAGGATTGTTACTGCTATCATGGGAAAAGTGAACAAGCACCAAGAGGCACAAGTGTGAAACTGTGTCATTTTAATTGCTGTGTGCCCATTTAAGTGTGTTTCCCCTCCTAAAACTGCTGCACAAATTAATATTTTCATGCAGTTTCTGAAAATGCCTTCTCTGACTTGCAATGAGCAATGGGAATATTTACTTCAGCTCAGGAGCAATGTGGATCACTGCAGCTCCTGAAGGGTGCTGTTGAATGCTGAGGCACGCCGTAAGGTCAGGAATTACCACTGCCCTTGATCTCACCCCTACAAAGCACAGCCTGGAAGGGGCCCAGTGGGCTGTAGGAGAATTCCCTGGGTGATCAGAATCAAATCCTCAGCAAGCAGAAGCAATCAACTCCTGCACTTGGTGGATGGCTACTCTCTCACACACTGCCACGGTGTCTCTAATAAAGATGGGTTTGCTGTGATTTTGAGAATGGGTGAGTCCTTGCTGCTCTTTTTCCCTTTGCTGCACCCAGGCACAGCCCCAGGAGCTCTGCACCCTGACAGGGCAGTGCCACCACGGGGGCTGAGTGAGTGGCTGTGTGGAGCTCAATTGCCAGCTGGGGTTAAATCTCCACAAGCAATGAACTGAAATGGGATTTAGACTCAGGAAAGGATGTTTTCAACATGTTAGAGGTGCCTAAAAACAGTGGTGCTAAATTATCTCTTCCAGCTTGTGGGGCAAAGAATGCCTCCGTTTTAAGTCTGAAGTTCCTGGAATAACAATGAGGACTAGAGGACAAGAGGGAAATAAAAGTTGACTTGGAGGCTCCTCTGTTGCTTCATATCCGGGGAAACTTTTCACCTGTGACCATGGGTTTGGTTTGAAGCTTTTTAATTGCAAACTAAGGAAAACATTTGTGGAGATTTTCTCCTCCTGAAAACCAGCCTGACTTGTTTTGCTTGTGTTACTGTGACAACAGGGAACTGGTTGCAACAGAGGTGGAAAGAGAAATCCCTTTTCAGAGCAGGGAGGGAACTCAAAGCCACTCTGGACAATGGCACACGGCTCTGAAGCTCAACATCCACCTATTGAAACTGGTTCCATCATCCCATCATCATGGGGTGTGTGTGGGGGTGTTGGTGTCCAGGTTCTATTAACGCCCCTGAATGTGACAAGGGAACACAAAGATGCCTTTCTGCTTGGATGTGTTTACAAAGGCAGGGATCTGCAGCCCTACCCTGGGCCTTGGGATGAGCTGTCTCTGTTCCACCTGCACCCAGGTGTGCCCAGCACCCAGTGCTGCCTGTCCCCTCACATCCCTGTGCCTGTGCCTTGTGGCCAATCCCATTTACAGCCCATGGCCTGGCACAGCCCCAATCTCCTTCCTGCTTTGCTTTGCCCTTTGCTTTCCCCTTGCCCACCACACACCAGTTCACACCAGTCTGCACCAGTCCCCCTCCATGTCCTTCTGTCCCACCCTGTTTGCTCAGTGCCTCTCCCACAGCACCAGCCCAGCCTTGCTGGAATACAGCAGCAGGGAAAAGCAGCCAGGTGCTGCTGCCATGGCAGTCTCCAGCGGCTGGAAGGACACCAAGGGAGGCTCTGTGGCCCCAGTGTCACCTGGGCCCAGCTTTTGCCTGGGGGGGGGCTGGGCACATGGAAGAGACTTCCCCCCACCACTCACAGGAAATGGAGCTGGAACTTTGATACCCTCCTGGTGACCCCAAGTTCAACCCCAGGCAGCTGAGCAGGGGAAGGGGGGTCCCCACTTGGCACAGGGCTGCAGGGCCAGCATGGGACAGTGACACTGGGACATTGCTGCTGAACTGCAGCAATGTGCACCTTCCCTGCAAGGTGGGAAGAAGAGAAAATGACATGAAAGAGGCTCATCATGCCCAGCTTTCCTGTCACCTCAACACAGCCCCAAGGACTGCCATCCATGCCCTGGAAGCTGGGCAGCCCAAGGGACCTGTCTGGAAAACGGCACTCCCCCAGCACTTCCTGAAGGGAGAGATGCTGCCCAGAGCTCAGAGAATCTCCCACGACCTCCAGACCACGTGTGCAGCACATCTCTTCCCCACAGAGAGCCCTGAGGGCAGCACTGACCCCAGAATTTGCTGACACTCTGCTGGAAACATGGGGCATGATGGACACTAGTCTAGCAAGCCTTTTCCCTTGGGGACACTTCCATGGGGCCAATGGCATTCTGGCAGGGCTCCCCAGGATGCGGGATGGCTGGCCCTGCAGTTTGTTCATCACAGACATTGCAGTCCCTGCCTGCAGAGCTGCTCCCAGCCTGGCCCAAAATCCCACATTAATGGGGGATTAGTAACTAAATCCCACATCAAATGCCCTGTACTTGCTCAGGAATTCCCAGATCCCCCCAGACTGGTATCCCTCCATCGCTGCGATTCCCTTGCAGATGTAACTGGATGGAGCAGCCCATTTTAAAAGCCACAAATCGGGCTTTTTTTCAGGGCATTTACAAGTCCCATTCACACAGTTGAAACACTGGGTCTATTGTGCCCCTGCAGCCACCACCAGCTTTCATCTGCTTGTGTAAGTGGAATCCTCATCTCTGCTCTTCTCCAGCTTCCTCGGCAGGACAAAGTCTGCAGGCATCTGCTCTGGAGAGCAGGCAATTACATCCTAGTTAAACCAATCTGTGCACCTGAAGGCAGGCAAAGCCTCAGTTCCTATTAAACACAAGATTGCAGACATATTCATTAACTATGCCCAGATTGTAATCTTGGTTGCTCTTGCTTAACTAAGTGGTTTAACCACCCTGTTAACTATTCTCCAAATATTTGCATACTGGATACCTTGCCTCCAGCAATGCAATGAGTTAGGAGAACCTCCATCTTCTCCTGAATTGCAGGAAAAGAATTTGATTTTTAACAGAAAATTATGACCAGCTCCATGGAAAATGCAGGAATTTCCCATTTTACAGCCAGCTTTTTCTGTGAGCAATGAGCAATCTGTGTGCTGGGTAAAACACAAGCCCCTGTGTTAATATCAACAAACCTGTGGGAACAGTAAAGCCACGAAAGATGGATTTTACGTAGGGACCTAGGCTCAACAGCAGAGATGCCAGCTGAAGGTGAGCACACATTCCCCAACAGCAGCTTGATGTGCTGGGACAAGAAACTTTGCAACCTGAACACCTGGAAATCCCTATTGAAGGTATCTTTTGACTGAGGTATTGAAGGTATTTTTTTCCTAGCAAACAGGGAAAATAACCTTCATCCCACTGCTCAGCAGGCATAGCCTTGGAAATAGAATTTTCATTGCAAGAGTGAGATAAAACTCAAATAAATTCACCCTGCCTGTATATACACAACTGCTGTCTTTAGAAACCTGCACTGAAATCAGTGTAAAACCTTGCTTGTAAATGTCTTTAACATCAGAACGCCAAATGTAAATTCCCAGGCTGGTTTGAAGGATTTCTAAGGTATTTTCTCCCACACTAACAAAAGAGGTGGCCCAAGCATCTTTTGACATTTGGGGAAATGCCATGACAGGCACTCTCAACTGAGGCACAGAACTGAACTCCGGAGCCCTGGCAGTGAGACACAGGGTGCACACATGAGCTCCCACCACTGCTGCTTGCTTCAGCATCTCCCAGACAAAAAGACCCAAACAAACCCAAATTAAACCCACTCTGATGGTTCTTTATTGCTTTCACAATCGTGTATTTTCAACAGTTTCCCACGAGCTTGTGAAAGAAACATGGACAAACCACCCTCTGGAATGGAGTAAATGCATGCTCGAAGCCGAAGACTCATTCTCTTGACTGCTTCCGTCTGAACATTCCCACTCGGACAGGCTCAGGGGAATTGTGGGAAAGCAAGCAGTGCTTCTGGATGGCAGCAGTGACATGGATGGCACGAGAGAGCTCCTGCTGCCCTCCCCTGAAACTCAAGCCCAGACCCCCTTGAGCCAGGCTTTCCCAGCCGCACTGAGCTGGAGACGTGGAGGGCCCGAAGCTGTCAGCACGCCGCCCGTCTGACACTGGCCCAGGGGGATTTCACCATTCCCTGCGCTTCCTTCACCTCCCTCCACTCCAGCTTCGTGTTTGGAACCTCTTCCTCAGGCTCAGGCTCCTCACGGACAGGCCCCTGGGGCAGGGCCACCACGATGGGCAGAGGGCCCTGCTCCTCCCGGAACTCCACCACGTAGAGGCTCTTCTGGTTTGCCAGCTGCTGGTGAGTCTCCTGGGAGCAGGACAGGGAAAGGACAACCAAAAACCATGATGGCTTCACTTCAGGCCAAATCTACAGAGGATGTGGGGCAGGGGAAAATGGCCCCAAAAAGCAATTTCCTAATAAACAGTTTAAGCACTGTGTAAATGAAATGACTTGTCAGGCTTATCTTACTAGGCAAAAATTCTGATAGCCAAACCTCAGATACACTGATCAGCCCTACAGTGTCATCCCAGAGGAATTTCCTTCTGGAAAGACATAATACCCTGCTCATAAACATGCTTGCTGGCAGGTTAGTGTTCCTGCTGGAAGGAACATTTTTATGTCTTTATGTGGATATAAATTTTGCTTTGATAACAGAAAAGTGCCTGTTAGTGTCCAGACAGGTGGCATTAACTAACATACATTCATAAAGACATGAATGTAACATTATTTTCAATTACACCTGTCCCTTGCCTACAAGGTGTTTTGATAACACTCAGATTTTACAGAGTAAATGTTTACAGGTGACAGGAAAGTTTTCAGGGCAGTGAAGAAAACTTATCAAGTGCATAACTCCAAAAGCAATAATTTATACAGCAGGCCTTTCTCCTGTTTGTTCTGTGGAAGATTCTCAGAGACACTGATTGAAAATACAATGCCAGACTTCTCCAAGTGTGACTGCCCTGAGGTATTGCTAAGCTGGGAGATCTGTGACTCCCATCAGGCAAAGAGGATCACAACCCCCTCACCTCCTGAGGCTCAGCTGGTAACATTGGCCAGGACAGGGTGATAGACTTGACAGCTACAGCTCTGCAGGGCTGTATTGGGAATGGAAGCAGCCAAACCTTGGCAGCCACCAAAACTGCAAGCAAAGGAGATAACCAGGAATTTCCAGAGGGCTGACTCATCCTGAGGCTGCTGTTCAAAGGAAGTAGGATGAAATGCTGCATGTTGGAGCTTTTCCATCAATTCCAGGCAGCTGGCTCAGACAGAGACATCTCCACTGTGAGCACTGAGAGGTGGAGGGAACACCACCACCTCCCTGACTGAATTCAGAGATCTCAATTACAGCAGCAATAGAAGCAGCTGGGGCTTCAGTCCTTGCTCAATGAGAACTTAGAACAAGCAGCAGTAACCAAACGTGGCCCACAATTCCCCCTGCCCAGGACTTTTCAATAGTCACCAAAACCCCACCAAATGAAAGCCCAGGAATTCAGATGTCCCCTGCAGACACCTGGCTGTGGAACAGGCAGAATTACACACAGCTCTTCCTGACTGGACAGCTCCATAAAACTGC